TAAAATAAAATATATATATAAAATATCTTATGTAACTTATGATATATACTTATGAATATTTGTGATAGTAAAACAAAAATTATTTTTAATATATATTTAATACAACATTTAAATTAATCTATTAGCTACGTAGGGGGATTAATATTGTGCGAGGCTAAGATGCTGAATAGTTTATTTCTGCTGTTAATTAGGGCAGGACAATCAAAGAGAAGATGAGAAAAATCGTATAGAGCTTCACTATCATGTAAGGGACAAAAGGGAACGTAATTTAAGGAAAGATGAAATGCATTGTAAGGCAGAAGATTATGGCCTAACCTAAATCTTGAGTACTGAGAAATTATATTTCTGGATAAGTCAAGGTTATGAAACCATGGAGAATGTATAATGGATGGAGAAATCGATCGGTACCAACATACCGTTTTCAATTTTATTGTAGCCCAACTGTCCTGCCAGGCTTGAAGAACTGTATGTCGTATGAGGCGGAAAAAGTCAGAAGCGGGAATATTATGGCTTGATGAAGTAAAGAAGGGGGAAGTAGAAGTAGCAAGACGGTCAGCTGTTTCGTTACCTAATATACTGGCGTGACCCGGCACCCAGTGAAAACAATAGATCTATTTTGGGATCGAATTAAGGAGATAAGTGATCTAATAATAAGAATGTAAGGAGAAAGATGAAAGCAAAATGGATTAGAAGTGAGGGCAAGTAGGCAAGATAGAGAATCAGAAAAAATAGCAAATTCATTAATTGAAGTAGAAGATATAAAAATGAGAGCATTAACGATGGCAAGGCATTCAGTGGTAAAAGAAGAAGAAGAAGGGTGGAGTGCAGCTGAGTATGAAATATTAAGTTCAGGAATAAAGAAAGAACAACCAGCCGAGTTAGTTGATACAGAACCATCTGTGAATATAAAGCATTTAGTCGGAAAATTAGCTGAGATATAATCTTNAAAGCATTTAGTCGGAAAATTAGCTGAGATATAATCTTTGAAGAGATTATAACGGAAGTTGCAGGAAGTGAACGGAGGATTGAAGGAGGGAAGCCGAGGAAACACGTTGAAGTATACACTATGGGAGCCATTGTAAGAGCCACTAGAGGACAGTCAAATAAAGGTAATCTGGAGTGTGATTTGTAATTGTGACAGACCATGGGTAACAGAGAAGAGCATACTGAGGCTAAAATTGAAAGTGATTTAGGCACGTAGCCCCAGCAATTACTTAATTCGGAGTATAAGGAAAAAATATGATGGTTAGGGGTGGAGAGAGATTTTAGGAGAAATTTATTAGCAAGCAATCGACAGCGGATTTCGAGGGGGGGAGAGGAGCACTCAACAAAAATACTATGGCTCAGGGTAAACTTAAGAAAACCAAGAATGCTGCGCAAGCATGCGGATAAAAGGGAATTAAGTTTTTTCCTATAAGTGTAGGAAGCTGAAGAAAATAAAAAAGAGCCGTATTCAATTTTAGTGCGAATAACGGATTTAAAAATGAGAAGTAATGAGGAGGGATGAGAGATGTACCAGTAATCTTATGATAACTTATGGTATATAATTAAGAATAAGTTTGTTTGTAAAAAAAAAAAAATTTTAATATATATTTAATACAAAATTTACATTAATCTATCTTAATAGCAGTGTTGAGAAGGAACTAGTTCCAAAAGGAACGGATTCCTGGAACGAGTTCTTTTTGAAGGAACGAGGAAAATGAACAAATTCCATTTTTTAAGGAACGTGAACGGAAATTACAGTTCCTAAAATTTTTTATAAACATGTTTTAGTGTAGTTTTCTTCGTATCTAGACATTAAAATATTATGGTATTTTTAGTTGACTTTTGACAATGGAAGTCCCCTATATACCCAGCCGAGATCGTAGGCTGTTTAAATGAATCAATTGATTATAGATAGAGTTATTATCACATGTAGGTATACAGTAAATATTTAATATATGTGTACATATATTAAATAATGCACCGAATATTATCGTCGTTTCTTGTTAACTAATTTATGTTAAAGGTTTTGGGTTTTCTGATTTATTATTTCTAACTTATATGTAGACAATAGACATTGGTCGCGTTGACACAAGTCGTTAGCATTTACTACCTGCTTATAAATATAATTTTCGAATACTTTTAGATAAGGAATACTACAAATTTGTTTTGTATTCGACTGCTGATGAAAATCATTGATGACCGTTATCATGATCTCATTGCCACAATTTTTTAAATAACTTATAAAAGGAACGAAGAGTGGAACGAGTTCTTATTTTGGAGGAACTGGATCTGGAACAAGTTCCTTCTTAATATAAAGAATTAGGATCTGGAACGAGTTCATATTTTAGAAAATGAACGGGGAACGGAACGAATTCCATTTAAAAAGGAACTTTCCCAACACTGCTTAATAGTAATACTTAAAAAGTAAATCTTATAAATAATTTAGTTTCTTAATATTAATATTAAATTAAATACTACACGTTTGTCAAACTAAATTAATATTCAATAAACCTAAAAAATAGACCAATATTTAATGGTACAGGAAAACTAAAATATTTCCAACTAGATATACCTATTAATACAGAGGTGCATCCAGTTGCTCAAAAATGTAGGAAAGTTCCAATACCTTTACACAAAATGGTAGGAGAAGAAATTACTAAGTTATTTCGGGAAGATATAATTGAAAAAGTTAATGGTCCTACAGCATGGTTATCTCCTATTATACCAATTATGAAATCAAACAATACCTTGCGCATTTGTATCGATATGAGACAAGCTAATAGAGCAATAGAAAAGAAATCATATCCATTCCCAACACTTGAAGATATTTGGTATAAGTTTAGGAAAAGTAAATATTTTATTAAACTAGATATCAAGCAAGCTTTTCATCAAATAGAGTTGAGTCCTAAATCAAGAGAAATTACTAATTTTGTTACACACATGGGAATATTTAGATTCAAAATACTATTTTTCGGTATAAATTGTGCACCCGATATATTTCAACAAATTTTGCAAGGACTTGAGGGAATATTAAATGTATTTGATGATATTTTAATTTTTGATGAAACTTGGGAAGGACTTCAAATCAAAACAGATAAAGTGTTAAAAACACTTGAAGAAAAAGGGATGACATAAAACTTCAGCAAATGTTCTTTTAATAAAACTGAAATAAATAGTCTGGGTCATAATTTAAGTGCAAATGGTATTAAGCTGGATGTCCATAAAAAAGAAGCAGTTGAATCGTTTGGCCAACCAAAATCAAAAGAAGAAGTTTCTAGTTTTCTTGGATTATTAACTTATGTGTCAAGATTTATTCCTCACTTAGCAACAGAAGCCAATGTTCTAAGGAAGATGACCAGAAAACAAGTTAAATTTATTTGGGGAAAAGAACAGGATGAAGCTTTTAAGAAATTAAAATCATCTTTAGTTACAAATCCAGTCTTAGGTTATTATAGTCCAGAAGATGAAACACATGTTTATTGCGACGCAAGTCCAGTCGGATTGGGTACTGTTTTGGTTCAGTTAGATTATCAAGGTCCTAGAGTTATTGAATATACCAGTAGAACATTATCAGAGGTAGAGCGCAGATACTCTCAATTAGAAAAAGAAGCTTTTTAGAACTGTGTCTAAGAATTGAACATTGGGTTTTAAGATTACAAATATATGATTATGAAATTGTACACAGACCAGGAAAATCTAATATAGCTGATCCATTATCAAGGTTGGTAGTGTACAATGGTAAGAAAGTAAATGACAACAAGAATGAAGTTCATATTCATAACATTATGGTTAAGGCTACACCAAGAGCACTTAGCTTGGAAGAAATAAAAAAAGAATCTGAAGTGGATAGTGAGTTAATTTTAATTAACAATTGTTTTAAGACAGGTAACTTTGATGTAGCTCCTATTGCATACAAGGTTATTAAAACAGAGTTATGTATTTATAATAATATTTTGTTAAGAGGTACAAGAATTGTAATGCCTTTAAAGTTAAGACCTAAAGTTTTACAACTTGCACATGAAGGACATCCTGGAATAGTGTCAATGAAGCAACGGTTAAGATCAAAAGTGTGGTGGCCAGGCTTAGACAAAGAAGCTGAAAAATGTATCAAGTCCTGTCATGATTGTCAAATTGTATCGCTTCCTAATCATCCACCATTAATGAAAAGAAGGAAACTTCCAATGGGTCCATGGATAGATGTTGCGGTTGACTTATTAGGTCCGTTACCTTCGGGGCATTATATTTTTGTTGTAGATTATTACAGTACATATTATGAAATTGACATTTTTAAGAATGTTGAAGCCAAAACAATTGTTAAGAGTTTGAAGAGAATTTTTGCTCGCTTTGGGAATCCTATTACAATTACTTGTGATAATGGTGGTCAATTTATCTCTCAAGAATATAAGAGTTTTTGTGAAGAAAATAATATAGAAATTTATAATACTATACCACTTTGGCCTCAAGCTAATGGAGAAGTTGAAAGGCAAAATCGCTCAATCTTAAAACGGTTAATTATTGCTCAGGCTAGTAAGTTGGATTGGGAAGATGAATTACTAAAGTATTTATTTATGTATAGAAATACTCCTTATTCAGTAACGGGTGTAAGTCCATCAGAATTGTTGTTGGGAGGAAATCTAGAGATAAATTACCGCAAATTCAAGGAATGGGTTTTAATGAAGAAGTTGAAGACAGAGATAAAGAAAAGAAGTTTATAGGAAAAGATTTTGCAGACAAGAATATGAAATGATAAGAAATGCAAGGGAACAAGAAGAGTTCAAGGAGGGCGATTTGGTTTTATTAAAACAAATAAGCTTACTCCAAATTTTTGTGTGGATCCTTATACAGTAGTAAATACAGAGGTCCTTCTATTACTGTTGAGAGGGATGGGGCAAAATATACCAGACATGATTCATTTGTGAAAAAGTTTATAAAAGAAGATAGTGGTTCAAAAGAAGTTGAAAATGAGTAGGCTAGTGACACAAGTAGTATTGATCAAAAAACAAAAAGAGAAATTAAGTTACCAGAAAAGTACAAAGATTTTTGTATATAAATATTTATTGACATAAGTTATTCATGGTGCAAGTCTTTAGGTAGCATTATTTGATATTTAAATTGTATTGTTTTTTTATTATCTTGATATGTTATTTTAATTATGTTGTTTTTTATTATCTTGATATGTTATTTTAACTATGTTTTTACTATCATGTATTTGCTATGTATTAATATTTTGATTGTTATGGTCATTTAATAAAAAAGGACCGAAAGATGTAGTGTATGAGGTAACACTGTAAGATTAAGTAAATAAACAGCAATGCATTACAGTCTAAGCAAAGACATATAAATAGCCAAAGATACAGTGGTTATACAACTATATATGCTTACTACAATTGAGGAGTATGGAGAAGTAGGAAAAATGTATGAAGAGCCTAGCAATTTAATAAACACATGATACAGTGAGGAAAATTATATAAAGCTCAGTTATTTTAATATCAATGTAGGCAGAGCAAGAGAAAAAAAGATGGTTAGAAATTATACACTGAGACAATGATGATTGCAATATCCACGTAACTATATTATGAACACGAAATGAACTAAAGAGGTGACAATCTAATAGAGTTTTGCACAAAAAATAAATTAATCATAACAAATACACATTTTTATAACTGTAAAAGATGAAGATACACCTGGAAAGCTATCTGCGATACAAGGATATTACAATAGAAAAAAAGAATTGTTCTCTAAATATGAAAAAAATTACTATAAAATTTATTCTAATCTTATGTATATTATGCAATATTAAAACCTATATATTAATGTTATGAAAATCAGGAAAAATGCATTATTAAAAAGATTAAATTTCTAAAATTATATTAATAATTTATTCTCTAAGTGATAGTATTAAATTAAAGACTACATATTTGTTAAACTAAAATAATATCTAATTTATACACAGAAATTTAATATAAAATAAAATATATATATAAATATAATCTTATAACTTATAGTATATACTACNTACGGGAAATCAGGGTTCGATTCCGGGGAGGGTATCTGAGAAACGGCTACCACATCCAAGGAAAGCAGCAGGCGCGCAAATTTCCCACTCCCGGAACATGGAGGTAGTGACGAAAAATGACAATACGGAAAACATCCCTCGAAATCGGAATGAATACTTTATATCTCTTAATTAGAATAAAGTGTGTTAATATATATTTTTAATAGTAATTAGAATATATATATATACAAATAATGCAACTTAACTACGTAAAAGTATCATGCACTAGGTATAGCTGTGTTTTGTGGGCGGGCGTGTCGGACTAACGTTATACCTGAGGTATAAACGGCAGTAGGAATATATACGTAAGCCGTATGGTACGCGGATAGTATTGGTCAGTCAAAATAAAAATTTGTTTATATATATATAATATTGATGACAAGCACACGGGTACGATAACCAAAAATAAATTTATACAGAGGAATAGTGTGCCGTCGTGATGTGAGCGAGGCGTGGGGTGGGGTGAATGCGTTATGACAGTTTAGTCTAGACGACGGAATATGCGATAACGCGTGGCGTTTGGAGAGTTACATACATACATACATACATACATACATACATACATACATACAAGTGAAACTAATAAAAGCGTGTTTTTTTAGTTTTTTAAACTATATTTATTTTTTACTTTTTAGTTTCATGTTATTTATTTATTTATTTATTTTATTTTAAACGGACGTTAGTCCAATAACAATTTACATGGGTGTAAAGTAAGATACAAGAATAAAAAACAATTTTATATAAATGCGAAAAAGTATACAGTATTATGAAACAAACTATTATAATATAAATGAATATAAAAACTCNTTTGTTAAACTAAAATAATATCTAATTTATATACAGAAATTTAATGTAAATAAAATATATATATACAGAGTGGCCCACCACTCACTGGCAACTTAAATAACTTTTGATCCAGTTAATATTTTTAGCTGATTTTTTTTTTAAATAATAGTTATACGTTAGGTCTATAGCTATATCTCAATAATTAATTTTTTTACATTTTATTAAAAATATTAATTATTTTTAAATTTTAAATAAAATGTAAAAAAAAAATCTAAGAGAGCTATTTTGTAGAGTAGAATTTAAGAAAAATTTTAGTAAAAAAATATCTTATTAATATACAGTAGTAAATATTCTGTAGCGGTTTGAAGTTTGTGAAAATTTGAATTTTCATGTATTATTTTACGGTATTAAACTAGTAATGAGTCGTTTACGAACGAACGGGTCTTTTTGAACGGGTCATATCAGTGAACGAGTTGATCCGGATCGCAAAAAAAATTGATATCGTTCATACGTTCATTCGTTCGTTTGTTTCACGCAATATATCGGACACACTGTTTCATGATTCGTTCATTTACTGAACGTTTACTTGCACTTCGGTTAAAACCTATGCCTAACCTTATATTCTTATAATATAAAAATTTAGTGATGGGCATTTTCGAATATTTTAAACTATCGAATAGTATTGGATAGTTTTTTAAAACTATCTACTTCGATATAGTAAAAAATATTCGATTAGTTCTACCTAAAATTTTTATTAAGTATACTTAATTATAATAAGAAGATAATTAACGAATACTTATAAATAAATTATTATACAATTAATAATAGTAAAAATTAGTGATGGGGCATTTTCAAATATTTTAAACTATCGTATAACTATTCAAATTGTGTTTATACAACCGAATAGTTTATTTTTAACATAAACTATTCGAATATATTGTGTAACTATCGAATATTTTTTGAATGACTATCGAATAGTTCGATATTTTCTATTCAATATTTCCCATCACTATTAAAAATTTAAAAAAAAAACGAAGAATATATTCTTTATAAGTATATACTTATAATGTTTTCTTAAAAAATTAAATGAAAAAATACTTATTGCCAATGAGAGTTTAAAGGCAACACTATTTGGTTTGTGATAAAAACATTTTTATTGTAGGTCTGCAGACTAAATTTTCAAAGTTGTGACATGTTTCTACTAACATAATCATGCAAGTTTAATTCAGTTAGATTATTTTAAGTATCCTACTATATTGTTCATTTGAAGAACAATTTTGATTATCAATATATAGCTATTTATTTCATAAATATTACATTCATATAATTATTTATAAGCGAAAATAGGTCTATGAATTAGTGAATTTAGCAACTAGGACAAAAATTGACTATTAGACTAATATAATTGTTGTGAGAGGTATTAAACCACCTCACTCTTTTATAATCTGGTCATAGCTGCTGTAAATTGTAATATCTGATTTAGGTGAATTAATTTCTCTATAAAACTCCTTTTATGAAAACAAATAATTTAAATGATTTCGCTTATTATAGAAACAAATTCTATGGATTTATGTACCGCAACTCATCCGCTAGTATAAATTATTTGTTTTTATTCTATACAAAAATATTCGTGTATAACAGCATATTATGTTATTTCAAGTAATTTGTATTTGAAAAAATAATATATAACCCGATTATACAAGTGTATTATCAGTAAAAATTCTGATATCACGGTAATGTTACATGGTGAAAATGCGAATTTGACCGACTCGTTCAGGAAAGCCATAGTAAGGAGTAATTAATAAAAACCGTGACCGATCGTAAGAAATGAACGAAAGAACGAGTTATATTAACGGGTCATTTGAACGATCCGATCCAAACGATCCGGATCGTTGGATTGACCCGAAATTCCCATCACTATATTAAACATTGATATACGTATTGAGAAAAGGACAGAAGAAAACGCTATATTTTCAATATACTTTTGAATGAGAGTGATAAGTAATAATTGTCTTATCTAATTTCTTATCATGGTATTAATGCCAAGTTTGTAATGTATACACATTATCATCTTATGTATACACAGTAATCATGAAAAGAGCGTTTTCTTCTGTCCTTTTCTCAATACGTATTTCAATGTTTAATACCGTAAAATAGTACATGAAAATTCAAATTTTTACAAACTTCAAAACGCTACAGAATATTTACTACTGAATATTAATAAGATATTTTTTTACTAAAATTTTTCTAGAATTCTACTCTACAAAATAGCTCTCATAGATTTTTTTTTTACATTTTATTTAAAATTTAAAAATAATTAATTTTTTTAATAAAAGGTAAAAAAATTAATTATTGAGATATAGCTATAGACCTAACGTATAACTATTATTTAAAAAAAAAATCAGCTAAAAATATTAACTGGATCAAAAGTTATTTAAGTTGTCAGTGAGTGGTGGGCCACCCTGTATATNTAAAAAAAAAAAATTATATTTAATACAACATTTACATTAATCTATCTTAAAAGTAATACTTAAAAAGTAAATCTTATACATAATTTATTATCTTAGTATTAATATTAAATTAATGACTACAACAATATAAAACTATTTTGAAATATTAAACTAATTTAATGTCTTAATTATCTTTCGCAGCAACCGAAGTTTTTTATGTATAAAAATTTCTATAAATCTTACAAAATTATTTAAGAAATATCATAGTTTTTATACAAGTTATTTTGTATAAAGATATAGATAAATTTTCTAGGACAGAAGTTTTAAAAATCTCTAATACTCTAAAGTTAAAAAAGAGACAGTGTGCGATATTTTAAAAGAACTCGAAAGTTATTGTATTTCTAGAAATAACAAAATTATGGACAATTACAATTTCTTTACTCGCAAGCAATATGCTGAAGAACCATTCGTGAATTTCTACACAGATTTTAGAAATAACGATGACTGAATCATAAGTCATTAACGCACAAACATAGATAATTGTATATATACAAAAGAGCTTCGAGTCTTGGTAATAATAAATAATACTCTATTGTGTTAATTGATATGTTTCATGAAAATATTTTAATGATCAAATTATTATTGTCAAGAAGGATTTATTCAATACACTTACCTTTTGTTTCCAGTATTATACAACTTGTTAATGATGCGTAAGTCAACAAACCAGTGTTTTAAAAAACATTTTCAAACTCAGATTTTCGCTGAACAAGATTTTGATGTTTGGGGTTCACGAGCAATATAAAACTTCTTTGTCTTTAACAATGCAATATCTATCAAAGTATTTTCTCAAATTCATATTAATTAATCACGAAACAAAATTTACTACTGACACTTTTATTGCTTTTTTATTGTAAATAAGATTTTTAAGAAAATATTATTTATAATACTTTTAAAACTACCAACTTTTTCATATATTAACATACTATACTGCAGTAACTATGAAAACGTAAAATACTTTATTGTCTGACTATAGAAGAATACTTAGCCAATATTATAATTATATTTAAAAATGTTTTATAATGTAGCTTTCATCACAAATTTGTATATGAATATCAAAATATTCATATATTAATTTTTATTACTAAAATATGTTTATAGTTATTTATAATGAATCATACATTTTTCATCAGAATTTTTATTCTCCTTTAAAAACAACTATACAAACAATCACTTAATAAATTGTTAAATAAAATTTATTCCATTCACAAAGTTTCCTTTAGTTTAATTTCAAAATTTTATGATATTCACTTATCTTAACTTAAGACATTTCTAAATGATATATATAAATTCAATAAAATTTCTTTTGTTTATTTAGGAGAAGTTCAATTTTAACATATTCGAACTCAACGAGTTTTGAAGTTTAGCGTCCAAGAGCTGTTTGACTTTAAACTCGTATTATTCAACATGAATTGGACCATTTAAATAGTATAATGTATAGTAATAGAATGATTCTCAATAGTCTATGTTGTACTGGTTGGGATACAATAAATAGAAATCAAGGGTTTGTAGAGCTGAGATATGAGAATTAAGAATGAACATTTTTTGTAATATATTTTACATTAAAAAAAAAAATATAAACTTATCATCTTAATAAATTATCATTATTAACAAAAAGTTTGTTAAAAGTTATCTAACAGCAAGTAATTATTGTTTTTCTATTATTAGTAAAAAATACAAAAGAATATTTACAATTCAAATTTTATTTTATTTTTTTAATTATTAATATTCACTAGTAAACAAATAAAAAATAAGGTAATATAATAACAAAATTAAATTTTTATAAAATTTAATTTACATACAAAAAAAAAATGTATATCTCAATATAAAGTCTTGAAAAGGCTTTATCTAAATAGTAAAAAGTTAAATTCATGTTGGATGAATATTTGTTTTAAGAAAAGGTTAGTAGTTGCATGACTTGCTACAACTAAATTTAAAAGTTATTATTTAAAGATTTTGTCTTCCAACCAAGGTCTTAATATAGGTAATGTAGATGGATAATGAGTACCAATTTTTGCATCAAATGAACCGTCTTCCGTTCTAAATGGGTAAGTTCCCATCATAATTGGAAGTTGGAGCTTAACCTCTTTTTCCATTGTGTTAGGTGTTATAATGAACTGTAAATATTTATTAAATAAAATATTTTCACAAAACTTTTTCTTATTTTTAGTTTATTTGGTAATAATTAGTACAACATTTTAATGATTTTTTTTTAATAAGATCATTATTTTTAAAATAGTTGTGATACATAAATTATTTGGCTATCTTTGAGCTATATATATATATACAGACGTAACTGACAACTTTTGGTACAATTTTTATTTTATTGAAATTTTTTTTTTAATTATTACATTCTATGATTATGTTTAAAGCATATTTTTCATTATTTCTAACATATAAGAAAAACCTTTTATTTTAAAATTTTAAAATAGTTATTATTTAACACTTTTCTTACAAAAGTTTTTGATCAGTCGATAAAAATTTTAGGACAAGTATTTGTTGAGTTACAAACATTTTGTACCTCGTTATGGTGTATATATATTCTGTCCAAATTCCATACCAACTCTATAAATTAAAATACTCAATGAGTGCTTGTCCTAAAATTTATATTGATGCATTCAATTTTTTTATTAGGGATAAAAAAATGGCTATTTTGAAATTTTTAAAAAAATTAAAAATTGTATTTATTATTTTTTCTTATTAGTGATAAATAATAAATATATTTTTAAAGTAATCTAAGTTTTATTTATTTTAACACGTTGACTGCCATGAGGGTCGTTTCAGCCCCCCAGTAGAATTTTTAAATGAGCCATGAGGGGTCATTTCGTCCTTCACTGTTATGTTATCTTTGAAGACTCGTGGGGTCAAATAGCCCCTCAGTTACTGTCTTAATACCGTATCATCTGATTCTCTGTTATCAGTTTATTAAAATGCTTCAATCAGCATTTAAATATTTATATATAGGTGACACACCAGAACAGGCGTGGCAGTCAACATGTAAAAAATAAATGTCAACTAAATGATAACTGTATCAAAAGTTATAAGCGTTGTCAGTTAGGTTTCAGACACTATATTAATTTGTATGTTTTTTTTTTCGTTTTTACAGCTCATAGCAAATTACTGAGCTCGGAAAATAGAGCCACCCGTGAACTAGTCTCAAAACCGAGAAAGTGCACATCAGTCACTGCTATGTTACCGATTCACACCATCCATTGTATGCTTTTATCTATAACCTTAAAGTATCTCATAATATACTTAAAAGGTCAGTTAAATATACAGAGTGTTCAGTAAGTCAGGAAACGGGTATCTATTGTTCTCATTGTTACAAACAATGAGAACAATAGAAACCCGTTTCCTGACTTACTGAACACCCTGTATATCACCTTTTCTTAGAAATTGAAAAAAATTACCCATGAACTTAAAAATGAATTAATTATATTCTTTAATAAAATTATCACTTGCAAATCTATTTAAATGAATCTTGTCGAAAAGTCAAATTAAAAATAATCAAATTTTTTTAGGTCATATAAAAATCAAATATTTTAAATATATTAACAAGAATTTATTTTCTAAATGAGTATTTTTTAACAAATTTCAAATAAATTAATTTATTGACTGCATAAAAAAATTATAATAAAAGTATAAATTATTGATGGCTGCACATCCTTAGTCATATACATGTATACATGTTACTTACATAAATGTCGTATTGAATGTTTATTATATGGCACCCACGAAGGTTAGTTGGAGGTAATGGTGGTACATAAAGTTGTTCATTACGCCATTCATCAGTTTCGTCTGGTTTAATTTTTCCTCTTCTAAGAGACGCTAATTCTCTAGTTTCCGACTGCACAACTTTATTTTTGGCAAAATATTGTATTGTCTATTAGATGACAAAAAATTTATATTATAAAACTACACAAAAGTCAATTATTACGTCCACTCACTTCTGTTAACGTTGCCCTGGTCGATTTAATGGTAACTTTACTATTATTTGTAACAATTGCGGTAATTTCAATTGTTTCACCTGGCACATATGCTCCTTTGTCAAGACAAACTTGACATTCCACCTGCCCTGATCCAAAGCACATAGCTTTAGATAGTTTATGATCTATATCGCAGCGGAATGGTTCCTAAAAATTGAACGTTGTTAAGATTACAAAAAATTTATCAAAAGAAAACATATTGGTATGTACTACAGAAAGAATTGATGGTTCCATGTTGAGATCGATAGGATTCATTACAATGAATACTTGCTGGTTTTTATGGATCAAAGAGTTTGGCTCCCTCAATGCGGCTTTACAGTAGTATTGGACCCAACCAGACTTGCCGAGAAACGTAGATGGAAGACCGGGTGGTAATCCCAATTTGAACGGAAAACTGTGGATTCCAGGAGACAACATGACAGGAGGTTGTCCTAAAATAATCATATAAGTGCTGTCCATACTTTTTAGCACTAAAAATAAAATAAAAATCTTTAAGTATTTTTACCTGGTTCACCAAGTAATCGCATCCGAAAATCAATATAGTTTTCCTTGTCATAAACTCTCTCACGGCGTCTACTCTTCAGTCGCACAACTCCTTCTCCAACCACAAGAAAGTGTAAACCTGAATAAAAACACTTAATTTTGGTAAAAATATTTTCTTTACTTTTATTAGTCAACATTCAGTACAGACAACATAAAAAATTTTATTTTTAAAATTATTACATTTTTTATAAAGTTAACTTTTAACAAACTAAATTTATTTTTTACAAAATAAAGTAACTAATAAAATTAATAAATTATTTGATTTTACACATAATATAATTATCGAAAATAGTGTATTAATATTTTAAACACCAGTATAATATACTCCAAATATAAATTTTAATCTGAATAACTCCCATAAAAACCCTACAGATATACTGACACTGTTTGCTAGGCATAAAAGCATGACCAGTCCTCGGCTGACATCAAAAATGTAAAACTTCGACTACTAACCTCGATAATATGTTTAATACATTTCTGTTGTAAATTGAATAATATCATAATTATTAATAAATATAATTACATAACGTCTTATACATAAAAATATATTAAAACAGTAAAGTATAAAAACTTTAATAAAGTAGATCTGAGAAATAAAACAATTTACAGTCTATCATATGCGATAACGCCAAATTCTAGTTATAAAAAGATAGGATAGATACCTGATCATATATATTATATTTAAACACAATATAAATTGATTTTATTAATCATAAAATACATGTTGACAGTTTATTACTCAATTATAAACAAATCATTTTATTAAGTTATGTTAAGTTACCAATAGTTGTATTACTGTTTTTTTTGTGTTTATCAATAAAACAAATAAACAGTACAGCTATACATATGTTAAATGTCTTAATGACATCTCAGTTCCGTGATGAACACTCAACATTAAACAATAATATTAAATCGATCAACTAATATTCAATAAATTTAAAAAGTGAAAATGTGTCATGCACTTTTCAATTTTAACAACATTCTGTGATTAAATAGAGTTTTATCACTAGAAATGATATTTAATGCATATAAGAAGTTTCTAATGCCAAATATCATGTTCAAACCGTGAAATAATACAAATAAAAAAGTATGTAAGTAATTTTTATAAATAATGTATTTTCTATTTATCTTTTTGAACATTAATAACAGATTTATCCATTAATGAATATTAATACTTAAAATAAAAATAAAAAAGTACAATATTGCAACAGATTGGAACAATATAAAACAGTTTTATTATAGAAAATAAAGTCTCGCATAAATATTTTTGATGTCACCTAAATCATGACAATTCAAATACAAACCAGTGTAAATAAAAATTATCAATCATTAAAGTAGTTAGATAAAAAATCTAAATTTTTGACAAAACGTATGAAGTTTTTTCTTAAAGTTCCAAAATTATTCAAGTTACGTTTTGAATTTTATTAAATGAATACATATTTTAATGGAAAATAAAATTTTAATGTCATTATTGATGAATCCTGTAATCAGTAACACATGTTTGTGATGTTAAAGGGTTCTGTCCTCCAAATATAATAAAGCTTTTATAAACCTAAATTTAATTAAATAACTTGAACAAAAAACAGAGATCAATTTGATTAAATTTTCAGCTGATACTCAGGTGTACTAAAATATTTATTATCTTTACTTCTTATATGATAATTAACCGGTCTTTTTGTCAATACTAAGATTTCCATTTCGCTTTTCGGTATTTCATTAAAACCCATTCCGATTTTTTATGACTTGCATAGATGTAATATTGTTTTTATAAATTAAATAAATTATTAAAGTTTTTAAACGTAATTATAACCACCAAAAGCGACAATTTTATTCCAAAATTTGCAGAAAAGATTATGAAGTAATTAAATAAATTTAACGATTAACATTGTAAAAAGTTACTACATTATACTCTGTGATTTTAACAAAATGATTCAGGATTCCTGAAAATTCTGTTAGCTTGCAGATCATTATTTTAAATAATTCAGCTTAAGTATGAAATTCATTTTACTAATTTATAGTGAGCATTAAGAACGTTCACTATCAACTGACGACTTATCTTCTGTATGAAAATGATTGCCGTAGTTAAAAAACTCGCAATATTGGTGTTAAAAATTATGATTTCAGATTTTATTAGTTAAACTTTTTCAACTCAATTTTTGAAAATTTTCCAGAAATATTGACACTTTTATTTAATCTTAAATTAAAGCGTATGTAATATACTATACTATGAAAAAAAAAAAAATTCGAAATATAGTGAACATGGTTATCATATTCAGAAAAACCCAGCACAGGGGAGTCGCGGCACAGTGGTGACGTGACATAGTTGGATCAAGTATAATGATATCTGATAGTGATTAAAATCACTATAAAAAAAAACGCTTCGATGCAAATCTTTAGTGTTTAATTTAAAAAAATTGGTGGATTATTCCAAAAGCTCTATGATCTGCTAGTTCCTTATTAATATCCTGATTAAAATAAAGTATGTCAAATGGAAAAGGGATAATTAAAAAATCTTATTTCTCATAAAAAAATTGTGTTGATCCATACACTTTTCAATAAGTTATAGCATTATAAAGTTAAAAATTTAAAAAATAAAATTGAGAATTTTCACTTAAAAATAGCATTTGGTAGCCATTTTTACCGTGAAGACAAAATAAAGTCCGAAATTTTTTTTTTTCCATAATAAAGTACATTGCATTAGCTTTAATTTAAGATATATATAAAAGTGTCAGACTTTCCGGAACACTTTCAAAAGTTAAGTTGAAAAAGTTCTACTTTCTATATGCATTTTTCAGATTTAAAATCGATAATTTTAACACAAAAATAGCATATCGTACCCCTAGATCTAAACTGTTGTAACTCAAAAATGCGATTTTTGAGATAATGTTCATTTTAGGATTTCTGATTCTATTACCTACATGAGAATAAAACCATACTAACTATATCTTGTTTGGTTTCCAATAGAAAGCGCTAGAAGACAGTTTACTTGAATGACAGCATGCAACGCCGTACCAACTAAACCGCATTATTCTCAGTTACTAATAATACTAGTATTATTACTAGTCATAACTATACCATGATATTTCAGAACATCCTACATTGCATATTCTTTTTTTGAAAATTCAATAAATCGAGCAAGTTCTCGAATATCAGTTTTTCTTGAATTGTAAAAAAAGAGGTTTTTTGAGTTACAACAGTTTAGATCTAGGGGTGCGATATGGTAGCCATTTTTACCACAAAAACAAGTCCAGAGGTAAAATTTTTTTTTTTTTCATAATAAAGTACATTACATTAGCTTTAATTTAAGATATATATAAAAGTGTCAGACTTTCCGGAACACTTTCAAAAGTTAAGTTAAAAAAGTTAATGTTTTGTAAAAAAATTGTCATTTTAAATCCCCTCCTATGGACAGATAAAGGGTCAGATTAATAAAAAATATATACCAAATTATAGGTAAAGACATCAAGCAACTATAAAAAAATAATTATATTGATTTGTTGGTTTTTGAAAAAGTAATGACAGTTTTAAGAAAAAAAATGAAAAAATGTCGAACATTTGTAATTTTTTCGGGGAATGAGGGGAAATTTTTTCAGTTTTTGTGGGTAATGTCTACTACTTTCGATTAGATACGATTTATGATCTTTTGACGTATCGTTGAAAGAAATCCGTTCGATGAGAGCTGAGAAAAAGTGATAACAGACACAAAAAAAAAAAACTCATCATACTTAAATAATACCTTCTCAGCTTCACATCGAAGCTAATATGCTATTACTGTGATAAAATTTTGGGTTTTGTATTTTAATTTATTTTAATATAACTTATAATGAGTTACATTGATTTTCATGAATATTATTAATACTAATTCACATAGAACATAAAATTTAACTTATTTCAATTTTTTTTTTCTTTTAAGTCGAAAAAATTAATTTTAACATTTGAATCAGTTTAAATTGCCAATTTTATTAAAAAATGAATGCGACGAACGTTTGCCGATTCAGTAAAAATCATTGCCTGTGCCAGTGACATTTTTGCAATTTTTCTTTAATTCTTTTTGAGTTAGATTTTGCTTTTAAAAAATCTACCAATTTCTTAAAATTAAATACTATCTACAGGTTTGCATCGAAACGTTTTTTATGATAGTGATTTTAATTACTTTCAGATATCATCTATACTAGTCCCAAATATGCCACGCTCACACTGTGCTATCGTTTTTATAAATGAATCTATACAGATAATAAAACATTTTTAAGTGATTTCTTTTATCTTATATAAAAGTGTAAAAAAGTCCAATTCGTTAAATTTTGTCAATCCTGAATATTAAATATTATTATAATCTAATGAATAATTATAAATAAAATTACAGTAAATTTTATACTAATGCTATAACAGTAGCATACTAATGTGGGGAATCCTTAGGGCCTGGACCTCTTTCTACTAATGTCCAATTAATTTCGATTTTAATTAATTTTTTTAAATCAATATCAAATATATTTCAATTTTATTTAAATTTTTGTAATCAAAAACCAATTTCAATTTTGATAACAATTTTATAAATCAATTTCAAGCCCTTATAATTTCTCAACTTATTCTCATGCAAATGTACGCTTTCATTCTGGAATAAATAATAAGTTGAATTAAATGAGTATCAAGACTCCAATTTCAACAACACCAGTCATAATGTAACATTAACTTCTATAAAATTATGCGTTTAAAAGGTAGTGGCGTAGATACGATTATTATCTGGAGGAGCTTTATTTCATATTAAATTTTTGACTAATTAATATTTAAAGATGTATTTTTTTATTTAAAATTAATTGATAATATTATTACCAAAATGTAAAAAAATAATGATAAAAAATAATTTTATTTCGTACCTCTACTTTATTTATGAATAATTTTTTTTTTTTGGTTCTGGGGGGTTTAAACCCCCTAATCACCCCTCGTATCTACGCCACTGTTAAAAGGTATGATTTATTTGGGAAATAAAATTGATTGTTAAGTTCCACACAATAAATTATACTGACTCAGTTATATTATTGAAGTCGCAAAGAAATTGTAGGTTCTCAGTAAGAGATACCGTTAGGTTATATGAAGTGACGCAAACATACAACAGATGGTTGAATAATTGAATGATAACATGTTATAAGAGACGACTCGCCAAAAAAGGAAATACCCCAAGGGGAGTATAGTGTTGTACATAATACGACACAGGTGCTAAAAAAATGCTATAGGCGTAGATATTTCAACAATTCTACTTGAACTTCCAAGTAAGAAATGTTATCAAGTACCCATATTGACAACGGGCGAAGTATTGTACCAGCACTGTCAAACGACCATTGGCCAACCCGTACTAGCGCACTAATGTCTGGGGTCTTGTCGAAGCACTGATCCAGTTTTGGCAGAGGTTGCAATAGAGTACTGGTATAATTCTAGTTATGCAAAACCTCAAGTACGGAAAAACATTATTGTCACAGACATATGCCAGTATTAGTGTAGTACTGCGGCTGTTGTTAATTTTTGATTGGGTTGTCGTAGTATAAATATTGAGTGACTTAAATGCACTTAAATTCTAAAAGAATCGCATATCGTCGTACACAATGCATGATTTTAGTAAGCCCACGCCTTCACATTGGATTCGTCGTTTAAACACTTTCACTCAGCTGACGTTACGCCACAATGCATTTACCGAATCTCAACAGCCTACTGCTTTTTGCAAGTAATTACTCTGTTCAACGACAGTCACATAATTTTAATTACACAACTACGGAACGTGTTGGCTGAAAACTCGACCCATTTCTTCGATAATTAATAAATCACGAGTATTGACTATACACGCAAATTAATAACAAAGTCCTCTAACGTTTAACTGAGAACTCTCTTCCGTGTAACATTAAACTATCGTTGGAATATACAATGGTTATTACCTAGAGCTTGAGTGTCGTCCTTGAGCTCCACCAACACTCTTCCGCTCAAAAACTGTCCGGGAAAATATAACAAGTTTGTGTTGTCGAATAAAACAACGAATTTCTCGAGTTTTTTCGTCATGGCGGTGACTTGTGACAACGTACGTATTTTACTCGTGTGTTTAAATATAATAATTATTTTAAAAACAAAATGGTTTTGTCTTCTCGACGAGTACTTCGAGAACGCGGCGCGCACGACGTCCACCACAACCGAATCGCGTCTGCCGCGCGTTACTGTAGTCGGTGACAAGGTAACAGACTCATTCGACCGCCAGAGACTGTCGGTAGAATACCACTGTGCGTACCATTAGAAAAATTTGTCAGGCGTTTGCTCGATCTACGGGCAAGACGTTTCGTAATGCATGTGAATGGGAGGTAACTGTGACCGTGATTCCGACGTTTTTGTACGGTAACAAATAGTTGTCTAATGCGATTAAATTGTTTTCATTCGAATTACGAGGCGTATGCACTGATTATGAATTTAATATTATAAAATATTTTCAAAAACCATATCCTTATGGTGTATTTATGTTTATGAGTTATTAAGTTACATAGATATTTATTGATAGTAACTTCCTGTACAGCTGTACTTGAATAATTTTAATAACGAATTGCTAAGACACATTCATTTATAAGGACTTAAATATGTTAAATAAAACAGAAATATGAGTTCTATTATTTTTAAAACGTTGAGCAACCAAATAGGAATTGAGTGGTATCTGTTCGTAGGTTAAGCTTATTCAAACAAGTTCAGCGCCCACGTTGTCAATACGGTTAACGACATTAGCTTCTTCCATTTAAAGTAACGACGTCTAACCCCAGGGAATATTTTTTTAACACAATGATAGCAAGTTAGAATCTGAGATAAAGCCAAAATTAAGTCTATCCGATAATAAAAACTATTATAATCCTGTTATTGTGTACTATTATTATGTACAAAGGGTATTATAATTCAATTTCAAAATAAAAATTAATTAACTTTGTAGTCGCTAATTGATATTAGGACGATACTTGTTCTTTATTAAGATTTTGTATTCCAAGAAAAAATTATCTGACAAATGAATTTGAAATCAAATTTTTACAAACACTAACTGTAGCTTAATTTTATTTTGTAGGGAGGGATTTCAAAAAGAAAATGTATATTATGTAATTTGAAAAAAATTCGGAGGTGGGTCCAGTTTAGATCTCGTGGACCTTCCCTGAAAACTGACTATGGCTAGAGTGGCTTAATACTATACTGAACCGAGAAGTTCTTTAAGATTAGAGTTGACCTTTTTAAAATTTAATTTTTGTCATTTAAGTAAAATGAGCTTTAAATTTGACAAAAACGAATAACTTCATAAACACAGTTAATCAACATAAATATAATTTATATTTTTTCATTATTATGAATTAGTATATTTAAATATCTTGTATACCTTGAAAAACTCAGAAGAAAATAACGTCAAACTTGTATAAAAAATATATAGAAATAAAGGCTGCATTTTACTTTAATAATTAGATAAAAAAATGATTTTATAATTAATGCTTATAACTAAGTTTAAAAGGGATTCTTATATCAACAAACTTATTTAGTTACAGTGAGAATTTTAAAACTTCATCAAATTGTAATCAAATAACAATACATTTGTCATAATTAAAGATCAAATATAATACAACTTTAGAACAATGATGTTTTTGTAATATATCATAATTAAATTATAAAACAGTGTGGTTAGTTTAGTAAATTGAATGAAATTTTTGAATAGTCAATCACACTTACATTTATCTCACAATAGCCTCAAAATCAGACAATAACAATAAATTAAATAATATGTATTTACAGAGTTCATTTAATATAGTATTATAAAAAGGAAGTACATATAATTTATTATAAGATCATAATAAAAAAAATAAAACTTAAAATTAATAGGTATAATTGTAATAATTATATACCAATAATAAAATAAAAATGTATGTATAAATATAATACAATAAAATGATTCATTTTATAAAATTTCTATATAAATGTAAATGTTTAAAACATTGACTTAAAAAACAACAATTTATTTGTTCATCTTACAACATAAATTAACTTACAATAAGAAATGAAAACAGTTATATTAGTTCAAAAGAAATGAAATTTTTAGTTTGAAATCAATAATATGTTCAATTCAAATATAAAACCAATTATTTTAGATTACAATTTTTCTACCTATATTTCATTCAAAATTTTTAATTATTACTATTTTACAAACAAATAAAAATATAAATTCGGTTTTCCATTAACGGCAATTAAACTGTAGTAGTATAATAATACATTAACTTTAAAATTATTAATAATAGTTATAAAAAAAAATCCTAATATAATACTTTATAATAAAATCAATATAAAATTTTTATACTTCATATGTTTAGAAATATTATTATATATTGTACAAAAAGAAAGGTACATATATAAAAATTATATATATTAACAAAGCGATTTTTATAATATTAGCCACTTGATTTCTCTTAAAATAATAATCATATTAAGATAATTATTTTTGTTTTTTTTTTATTTTCATATATTCTTGATACATTAATTATTAAATGTTATTAATACATCTTTTATGCCTTATAAGGGTTTCAGTATTATTTTTTTCAATGACAGAATACATATTTGACAAGCTTATAAAATATATAATTAAGAAAAAAGAGGTCGATAACAACTTTTAAACTAGCACTCGGGAAGTTATTGACATTTTTAAATATAGAGTGGAGAAAAAGCGTAGCAGTTTAACATGTAAAGATAAAATTAACATAATCAATACCTTACTTCCATTTTACATTTTAAAATAGTTATAACTTACAAAGTATTGGGTCAAATATTGTTATCGACCAGTCATTTTTTTATATTATTTTACAATCTATAAGCTAATTAAATATGTATGTTGTTATAAAATAAAAACTAATTTGACACCTTTATAAGGTATAAGAGATGAATTAAAAAAATACTTAATAATTGATTAAACTAGAAATATATGAAAATAAAAAATACTACATTAATTTCCTTAACATAATTATTATTTCTTGAGAAATTGAGGGTCGAATATTAAATAATTCACCCTGTAGGTATATCTTAAGTATAATTATTAGTTAAAATTTTATAAATACGTTTACATTTTTATGTGTTATATATAGGTTAAGTTATAACCTAAAACAATGAAGCAAATGATAAATAAAATTAAAACATATATTTTACATAATTGGAGTTTTAAATATAATAAAAATTACATGAAAGAATAGTGTAATAAATATGATACAAAATATTTCATGTAAAATATAATTTTTTTAGAATATTCTTTACCAAAGCAATTTTTCAGTCGCTGAACCATTTGTCATAGGCATTGGCGATTGTCGATTAGATGTGATTGCATCTTTTATCTCAATTAAATGTCAATTGAGCAATTCAGTAGATACAAATTGTTTTAATCTTTCTAAATAAACATTATGGAGTTCTACATCATTATGCCCAGCACCCTGCAATAATTAATACAAATATAATTTAATATATCATAATAAAAGTCCATTAATTAAATATTTTATTCTTATTTATTTATTTCATCATTCAAAATAATGATGATGATTAGGCATATTAGGGTAGACAATAAAGAAATAATACAAATCAATACAAATAATAACAAACTATAAAACTTACAACTTTAAAGTTATAAATATTAAACTAAAAAAAAAAAATACAAAATGAATGTAAATAAATATAAAGTAGACATTTGAAAGATCACTTAAAATTATACTTTGAAAGTAATACGACATGTTGACAATAATAATGTTGACAAATCATGATTAAAATCAAAATTTTTTAATGAATTACATAAGTTTAGCATGCGATTAACTGGCGAGTTTATACAATAGTTCTGCGTGAGGGTAGGTATATAAAACATGGAATTATTACAAAGAAATACTTGAGGAACATTGAATGGTATCTTTTCTAAAATTTCAGGACAATCGATTTTGTTATTGAGTAAATTATACATCCACTTTACATCTAAATATTGCCTTCTACATAATAGAGTCCATTTTCAAATTATTAAAAAAAATCTTTTGGTTAATCCTATTTTTATTAAATTTGCCCGATAAAGAGGTTAAGAAACGTTTTTGAATAGATTCAATCTTTTTAATATCGTTGGCTATAAATGGGGACCAAATAATAGAACCGTACTCCAGGCCAGATCTTACAAGAGAAAAGTATAAAGTTTTTAAAAAATCAATATCTTGAAATTCATTGCAATTACGTCTTATGAATCCTAATGTACTCGACGCTTTATTATAAATATAGCTAATATGTTTCGAAAAAGATAAATCACACAAAATTTCTATTGTGTGATATTTCTATACTCAAGAATTCCATTAATTTTGATTTGTCTGTATTTATCTGTAGTCCTATTTGTCCTGCTGCACATTCTAGTATTTCAGTTGCTCTTACTGTGTCATCCAAGGAGTCTCCTAGAATATTGAGGTCATCTGCAAACCCTAACACTTTTATTTGCTGTTCATCCACGTTTAGTCCCCTAGCTTCGTTTTGTAGTACTCTAACTATCTTTTCTAGGGCTATATTAAATAATAATGGGGACAGTGCGTACCCCTGTTTTAGTCCCGTTTTAACGCTGAACACTTCTGACATAGTATTGTCTACTCTTACTTGGTACTTCACACCTTCCATGGCCAGCTTGGTTAGGTTTATTAGTTTACTTGGAAAACCAAATTCTTTTGTTATATTATAGAGACTATTTCTATGTATGCTGTCATAAGCTTTCCTGAAGTCAACAAACATTTGCCACATGTTCTGGCAATATTCATATTTCTTCTCTATAATTTGTGCTATAACCAATAATTGTTCTATAGTTGACCTACCTTTGCGAAATCCACTCAGATATTTACCTAGACATTCCTTTGCATAGAGTATTAGGCAGTTCAATAGAACTTTTGAGAATATCTTATATACTGAATTTAGCAGGGATATCCCTCTATAATAGTTGCATTCTGTTTTATCACCCTTTTTATGGAGTGGTATAATTATTGCTTCATTTCAGTTTTCTGGCATCTTTTCATCCTGCCATACCCTATGACAAACCCTGTAAATGAAATTGTACATGCCATCTCCACCTTATTTTGTGAGTTCTGATGGTATGCTGTCAGAACCAGGTGCCTTTCAGTTTTTAAGGCTCCTTATCGCTGCTCTTGTTTCTTCCTTGGGTATTTCTTTTACCAGTGGTTCCGCTTTCTGAAATATTTTATTCTCTATTGGGTCGAGAGGTATTGTGCTATCCAATAAATCAGCAAAGTATTCTTTCCATCTTATTATTTTCTTTTTTGGCTCCATAAGTATTGTTCCTTCCCTATCTTTACAGCTATTGGGCTTGGATTAAATGTACTGTACCTTCTTATTGTTTTGAAAAAATTTCTTATGCTACCTTGTGATCTATCCTTTTCTGCTTCTTGCAGTATTCCATTCAAGAAGTTTCTCTTTGAAACACACGCTTAGAGTTTTTTTTGTTCCTTTTCATATGTTTCCCTAGTATTTTGGTCACCTAATATATTATAGTTATCTCTCTCTACTCGACGTTTCTCAAATGCTTTGCGACAGGCCTCAATAAACCATTTATTTATTCTTTTTGTTTTCCATTCTTCCTATGCTTTGTTCTGCTACTTCCTTTATAAGTGTTATGGCCTGGGTCCATTCTGAATTTACATCTTGTCCTTCAAGTTTTATTAGCTGGTTGCCAACTTTAGTTTTTGACATTATGTCATTAATAAAACTTATATATTCTTCTAGGACACTCATAAAAAATGTGTCATTCTATAGAAGTCAACTGTATAGACAATATATATATATATATATATTTATAAAAATTAAATTTAATATGCTAAGAACTTAAACTTTTTCACTAAAAACAATATAATTTATAATTTAACCTACCTCAACCCAAAGGGGAGGAACTGCTTTAGGACATTTTTCATAAATTGCTACACCATGTGAAAAATCAATGACTTCATCATGAGTTCCATGAATTACAAGTACTGGAGAGTTAACTTCTGAGACTTTATCAATACTGAAGTAAAAGAGTAAACAATAAAATTAGTAATGAAATAAAATAGTTTCTTAAACTAATTTATAGAACGATGATTAAATAAACTATTAATATAAGATAAACAACTATCAACAAATAATACTTCCAAAATACCAATATTTGATAATTCTTTTTTTACTTAAAAGCATTCAATGGCATAAGTACAAAAATTATATAGTATTACTAATTATTTAATCAAAAAATATAAATAAATTATTTTTATTAATTATTTTATTATTTTTTAAATAATTTAATTGGCTTAATACACATTTTGACATTTACTAAATTAGAGTTTCTTCAACAATATGTTTAGGAATTTATTATAGGAAGTCTATATAATTTCAATAATGTAGATTAGTAGGGATCTTCACTTCTTATACCTGTCTCATTATCATTATTTTTTTCAATTGGTAGAAGGTTCAGATTCTAAAGCCCTATGTTTTCAATATATCACTGTAACTTTTGAGTTTGTTATTAACTAAAAAATTTGTTTACACAACTGGAGTAATAGGAACTACTACCTGAAATTTCAATATAACCCCTAAAGAATGTTGGCCCCCAGACAGCTGCCTTGTCAGTCTGACTTGTTTGCTTAGACTGATATAAGGTCATTGCTATAACCATAGTAGAGTAGTGGAAACAATTTATAAAACACATATAAGTCTGGCTAATGACTAAAAGACATTTTGAATTTGAAGTATAACACCTTTAAAGCAAGATACCTAAAAAAATATGATCGACATTTTGGTAAATAAGATATACTGTTTATTCTAAAATTACTGATAAAAATATTTTTAACTTCTTTTTTATAACCCAGACCATTTGGAAACATTAGTAAGAACATGCATGTTTTAGGGGCAGTATGTTGCCAAGTTTTTCTTTTTTTCTGCTTATTGTTAGGGAGCAAAATCTTAAATACAGTATCAAATAAATTACTTAACGATTTATATATAAAAAATCAACATACCTTGTAAATACATCAAAGAACCACTTCCTTTTAGATCTTGGGAATGCTACTTTAATGCCAGAAGTCAATGGTGAATGCAAGACAACAGCACCTACTTCATACCTGGATGCTAAATCAACAGTTGGAACAGTACCAATACTTTGGCCATATAGAATAATATTTTCAGGGCTTATGCCATAACTTGTTCTTAACGTCTGCCATGCAGCATCAATATCTGCATACAAGTTTCTTTCGCTTGGTTTGCCATTACTGATTCCATATCCAGAGTAATCATAGCTGAAAATATTGCAGTTAATCCGCATACCTAACCCTAAGTAGAAACTGCTCATTTGCCCTAGGTCAACAGCATTACCATGTGAAAACAATATAGTATAGCGGGCATTAGGGCAACATCGAACAAATATACATGCAATACGATTTCCACGAGATGTACGTGCATAAAACCCTTCAATGTTTTGAACATCACTATCGGTATATTGCCATTCAGCCTTGTCATTAAACTTAATATGATATTTACTCTCACCACTTTCTACAGGGGTAAAGTCGTAAGTAGATGGTGGAGGCAGGAATGCTAGCTTGGAAGCTATACGCGATGGTAAGGGCGGGCAACAAAACAAATACATTAATTCACTGAACGTCATACCGTTCATTGCAAACACATCGAACACAAAATAAAAAACAATCAAATAAAAGTAAATTAAAAAAATTCTAATTAAATATAAATTATTACAAATTTTTATAATTCACTTAAATCATGGGGAAATGAGAGTAACAGTATTATAACAATAAACTTTTATCTAAATACTAGGGCTAAACATTTTAAATTATCAACAATACATACTTAAAACTGTGGATATGACATCATCGACTTATGTAAAAAGAACATGATTAAGATGCACACATTTGGTAACAACCACAGTTTTGACGACGTCACATAATTATTGAACCATATTATAGAATCACTATGAGTATTAAAGAATGAATAATCTGTTATGACGTCACTTTGCTTATTTGAAGCAATAATGTCATAAATATATCATATATACAATATACTGTATACAATGCGATTGTGTATTAAATGCGCCAACATGACGATATTACCGTAAATGTCGAGTAAACCTCTTTATTTGCTATATTTCAGCAATCATATCACAAGTTCTTACCAAGGTTTTATCACAATCAAGACTACCAACTATTATCAATTTTTTATTTTTATTTTTAGTTAATTGGATCGAAGAAATAACTACTTATCTGTTTTTTGTTATCAGAAATAAATTTACCTTAGATGTATTGTGTTAGACTTTCAAAACATAACTTAGAAAAGGAATATTAAAATTTAAATTTTACTTATAATTGCACTATAAAACTCATGGTATTTACATAAAAAGTTTATCAAAAAACAAATTAAAACATCAATAATTTCTTTGAGTCCCTACCTAATAGTATCCTGTCTTATCTATTTCAAAATTTATATCACTAAGAATTGGAAACAATATACAATAATATAAAGTATAATAATAATTTGTAAACTTTGATCTTTAATTAAATCGTTCATTAATCTTAATGTGTTGTTATTTTTAACATAAGATTTCTTTTTTCTTCCGGAACGAGTTTCAGACACTCAGGTAAATACACCTTTTTATGACCTTATTTCAAAATAATTTATTTCTTAACAATCAATATTCAAACCTTCATTATATTAAATTTTACTTACAAGTATTTTATTGGTATCTAGTAGTTTCTATATGTAAATATTTCATCAAAATTTAGTGTTGTTTTATGTTTTATAAATAAGCTCTAAATACATAAATTATAGTAGTTTTCTAGAAATATTTTAATTTTCTAATTTTATTTTAACACATTTTTTACAACAATCAATGATTCTAAATAGCACAATTTAGTTATACGTGTAAATAAAAAAAAAAATTTGAAATATAATAATTGTCTTAAGCCATTGATTTATGCACAATTAAATAAAAGCATCTATAAAATGTATAGGATAAATTTTTTTACATTTAACGTAAATAATTTTTACAGTTATTCAAACTAGGCTGCTTTTTTTGTATGCAATTTGAAAACAAAGTAATTTTTTTAATACTGATGTATCAGATTTTGATAATACTTAAATAAGGAGAGTATTAGTTATTATAATAGTTTAGTTTTTAAGTTACTTATAATAATTTTATTCATTTATTTTAATAACTAGATTATTCATATTTCTTTAATGTTGCTACTTCATCATCTACTCCTTAGTCTATATACCGAATATTTAGGATTGCCTATTACTTACAATGATTTTATAGGATTTTTACACCAGGTCGGCCAGTGGGAACTAACAACAAACACACGTTAAAGTAACGGCTGAATGATCTACTACACCATACCACGCCTCTATAATGTTTTTACTTTAGACTTAAAATTTTTCATTTGTATAGATTGAAAATGTTGAAAATATTAATTTGTCAAATTTCTTATTAGTTTTTGAAATGTTGGTTTTCTTATTTTACTATTTTTAGGTTTTTTTTAATTTATTCAACATTGTACAACTGTCTTGAATAAAAAAAAGTATTAATCTGAAGAAAAAAACAAAAAAGTAATGGTTTTTTTTAATCATTTAAAAATTAGTTTATTATTTACTACAACATTTATTTTAAATTGATAAAGTGCTTCATTTATTTTTATCTCTAGTTATTCTGTTATATTGAATTTAATAACTGTCCTCATTTGTCTTAAATGTAAGATAAAATTCTGTGATAAAAATTTAAAATATAAATAATTAAATTTGAAAACATCTTTCTACAATTATAAAATAATAGTCTAGATAGATTTTATAGATAATATAGAGTTAAAGGAGCGTTAATACAAAATGAGATTTTTTGATTATTATTTGGTTTTTATGTACAGCAGTTATATATAAAATGTATTTTAATGTGAAAATGATATTAAAAGGTATATTTTTTTAAGAAAAAAAAATTGTTATTACTTTAAGTGAACAATAAAAATTTAATTTTACTCTCCTAAAAAGTAAGAATTTGTTTGATACATCATTTTAATTCTAAACCATCGTAAAAAACAAATAAAATAAAATGCTACAGGACTCTAATAAATTTAATAAAATATAAAAAATGTTATGAAGATAGTGTTCTACTTCATTAATACAGATGCCTTAATTTATATCCGTTTTTATCTGTTATAATTATTCCATGTAGCATCTATAAAAAAAAGAATTATATTGATCCATACATCTTTCAAAAAGTTATAGCATTATAAAGTTAAAAATATAAAAAAGAATTTTTTTACAAAAATCGTATATTTTTTATTAACTTTGATGTCTGTTTTCACCATGAAGATAAAATAAAGTCCGAATTTTTTTTTTTACCATTATAAAGTATATTACATTAGCTTTAATTTAAGATATATATAAAAGTGTCAGACTTTCCGGAACACTTTCAAAATTTAAGTTGAAAAAGTTCTATTTTCTGCATGCATTTTTTAGATTTGAACCCCCCTTGTATATAGGGAAATGGTCCGATTAAAAAAAAAAGTATGTCCAATGAAAGATGTATATAAATACTACTCCTCATGAAAAAATTGTACTGATCCATACATTTTTCAAAAAGTTATAGCATAATAAAGTTAAAAATGTAAAATACAAAATCGAAAATTTTCACACAAAAATAGCATTCGGTAGCCATTTTCACCGTGAAGATAAAATAAAGTCCGAAATTTTTTTTTTGCATAATAAAGAACATTACATTAGCTTTAATTTAAGATATATATAAAAGTGTCAGACTTTCCGGAACACTTTCAAAAGTTAAGTTGAAAAAGTTAATTTTTTGTGAAAAAGTTGTCATTTTAAATCCCCCCTTGTGGGCAGGTTAAGGGTTAAATTTATGAAAAAAAAATACCAAATGAAAGGTAATGATATTATGCATCTATATAAAAAAGAATTATATTGATATGTTCATTTTTGAAAAAGTTATGGCACTTTTAAGTAAAAAAAATTTCGAAATTTACCGATTTTAAAAATCGTAATTTTTTTGGAGGTTTCCCCCATTTACGGGGAACGAGGGAAATTTATTCAATCTTTGAGGGTAATATCTTTGACTAGATACTATTTGTGATCTTTTGAATTATCATAGAAAGAAAACGGTTCTGTGAGAGCTGAGAAAAAGTGGTAACAGACACAAAAAAAAAAAAACACATCATAGTAAAATTAATACCTTCTCAGCTTCGCATCGAAGCTAAAATATAAATATTCGTAAAATTATAAATAGTATAATACATTTGTGGTATGAGTAACTATTAGATAATATTGAATAATATTATTTAAATATTTGGATTTAAAATAAAAATTCATTTTTAATTTGGTTGTCTAATAACGGAGACGTCAACAATCTGTTTCAATGGGTCATAAATTATTATCGGTATTTATTCTTGCTATTTTATGCGAATAGATACGATAACAAGAATTGCTAATAAAACCTTTTTTACGTGACAGCATAACTAAATGACGACTACTGTATAACAGCATATAATTAATACAAAAAATTATGCTAAAAATCGTTAAATTTTAAAATATGAACGGTTCAGATAAAAAGTTAATAGTACAAAATTGCCTGAATTTTATTTTCTATCATTTCAACAAACTAAAAATAGTATAAGAAAATAAGATTAAGGTTTTTTTCCTGAAGGGATGTTAAAAAAATGATTTGACTACATATTATTTTAAAGTCTTTTGAATCAAACAATATTTCTCTTTTACAAACATTTAAAATTTTCAATAATTTCAAAAAAAAAAAAAAAAGGTGAGTGTCATACTTTATGAATCACCATAATTACTTTTATTTTAAAATAACCCAATAATTTCCGAAAACCAAATATAGATCTATTTTTATCGAATGAAGATGTATTTTTAAGATTAAAATTATTTCAGTAGTTCTAGTGTTTCTTTATAAATTAATAATAATCGAAAAAAAATGATAATATATTATAATGTTATACAATACGATTCCTTGAAAAATTACTAATATGTTTAAAAGGTATAGACTGTTGATGATAAAAAAGGAAAATTTTGTAAAATTTTTCTACAATGAATCACAGAACACAATCATGCAACATTAATCTGTGCATGTCTTTTTTCTTTTAGAAAGGTCAAATAAGTTTAATTTAATTTTTATATTATGCAGTTAAAGCTATTACTACTAATCAAATTCTTTACTCGTAAATTGAAGAAGAAGATTAATAATAAGAATTTACATTATTATATGTGCAGAAGACTATAAAATAATTTATTCATTTTATGTTGAAAGTTATACTTGTCCACAATGTTGGTAATAATATAGTATAAGTTTATTTATAAAAATTACTATTTCAATTTTTAAGTGCATTCAATAGTGAACTTGACATTTTTATTTTGAAACACTATCCTAATTAACGTAGATTATTTTTACCTGTTGAACAAATCTGTAAAGATGAGACTAATTTTCCTTTGAAGTTATGATAGCTTATTGAATTGTATTTGTTTAGAACAAGATAACGTTTATTAAAAACTAGTTGACACCATTTTTAAAATATACTTGAATTTTAACATATTTTTAAAAATATTTTTTTAATGGAGTTTCAAGTATTTAGGTTGTAACCTATATTTATTTATCATATATTCGACCTAATTTAGGAATTATGTGCATTATTGTACTTTTTAGTACTATATTAAAATAATTATAGTATCAAATTAAAAATTTGATTCTATATAATTTTTCACCCCAACACTCTTAACGCATATTAAAATAAAAAAAAGAGGAAAAATATATTTTAGCTCAAAAAGTTTTGCCTGCAGTTCAGGTTAACATCGCTAACTTACCCTACTTTCTCCTATTTATAGCTGAATATTGAGCTTTATATAAATTATTTATAATTTTATAAGGAATTCATCTTCTTGAATGAAGGATGGGTTAATTACCCTAAAATCGCAGTAATTTTAACGGGCTTATGTTTCAAGATTATATTTTCAGTATGATTAAAACACAAAGTCAAGCAGCACAAACCAGGCGGGCGAACGTCGAAAGATCCCCCAGCCTTGTTGGTGAAGATAACCCTTTTCGAGGCTACCCTTTTGGCAGGCGTGCTCAACACGTGAACAAATTAATATTCAAAAATTAAAATATAAAAGCCATATGAAGAAAAGAAGTAGTTTGTCTTGGCAAACAGAGATAATATAATACACCCCAACATTTAATTTGCTATCACGTCGCTTTCTATGCGACTAAAAATTAAAATTGTATCAGCATTCCTTTTACACTGGCTGTATCACACCTACCCCTTCATCATCATAAAAAATTAACTACCTACAGTTTTATTAATAGAATCATTTAAAATTATTAAATATTTTAAAATAAAGGAAATAACTGAAGACGCGTAGAATCATGTTATTTTTGCGATGAATAAAAATATATTTTTTTTTTGTAATTAAGTACAAAATAATTTTTATGGTGAAATCTAAAAATTAAAAACTTAAAAATATAGTTGACGTATTAAATATTTTACGTTTAAATATAACACAATTTATATATATATAGAGCATAATAACTCATTTTTAAGTAAATCAATTGAATGTGTATTAAATAAAAATTAAAGTACAATATAATAATGTTTAATGAATTAATATATTTTATTGAAGTAGTATTTATTTTGATAAAATAGGTGATATTTTTAGATGTCATTCATAATAAAGTTAAACTATTATTTATTACTTGAAAATTATTTGTTTACATAATAATGAAATTTTAAGTATTATGACATAAGAACAGAGTTGTTATTGAAATAAACTATACTTTTAAGCTTCAATTCGAAAATTATACACTTTAACTATTTAAATATTGCGTCTTCAAATATTTTCGTAATCACTATTTAGCAAACTAGTGGAGTTCGTTATTGTTATGATACGATAAGTTGTCGCATAAAATATCCGTTCAGTCGTTGGTTGGTATCGTTAGCAACGTCAATATAAAATATAAATAACGACTACCAAATTTGAATTCTACGATGTTTTTTGTTGGCTCTGTAGTTTTATTAATTCTTCTTTAGTTTACTAGTATTAACACAGAAAGGTTGTACGAATAATTAATAGTCGTTAATTGTATGAGTGAACAATACAGTTTTTATATATTGAATAATAAAACAATTATATTTTTAAAATGATCCCGAATAATCAAATTGATTCGAAAAAAGACGATGACATTAAACGACCTTCTCAACTCAATGTGTTACCACCAGGTATTAATATTTATTTACATCGTTTGTGACAATTTTGCTTACATTTCTTTAATTGCCAAAATAATAAATCATTTAGAATTTTACCCTTTGACTGACATTTATTAATTTCATGATAAAAGCCATAATAATATAAATTTGATTTTATAAGTTAATAATATAAGTTTGATTTTATACACCGATGATTATAAAAATCTGAATTGCTAAAATTTATTTATAATTTTCTATTAGTTTAAACTTTAAAAAATATTTAAAAAACTACTAGCAACAACTAGTTACAATCAAATTAGACAATTTTTGACCTAAAAACTTAGTGGTGTTTATTAACTGGTAATGTTACCTCATAAAGAAGTGAAAAATAATTTTTGAAATAAGCGTGTACAGAAGTATTTAAAAAATATTTTAGCTCTTTTATAAAGCAATAAATTTAAAGGCATGTAATGGAAGACCAACGGCACAGTTGCACCAAAATTAAAGCGGTCTTCATTTAGGAAAAAAATTTAATTCCTCATAAAAAAATCTTAAAAAAAAAGAAACTTAAAAAAATTATTTTAACCAAATTACGTTATTTAAAGCGAATTACGTGACCATTTTTTCCTTTCCCTTATGGTCATACTTAGTTGAATTTCGAGTGTTTGTCACTTTTTAAAATTGTTTTCCGGAGTGTAGCAAAGCAATTTTTTAAGGAGAACTAAGTCAATTAAAAAAATATTAATTAATTGAGATTTTAACTTATAATTTAGCGAACTATACTTTTTAAGAAGGTCTTTTGTCCAGTTGAATAGACTTAAAATGGAAAACTATTTCTTTTTATTACGCCCCTTACTGTTTTATACGTACAAGTAAATCAAGTTATGCATTTAGGAAAGCATTTTTAAGCAATTTGTTATAAAATTAATTTAAACAAGTGAATATAAATTTTATAAAATAGGAAAGATGACACAGCTGTAGAATCGACATGTGCTTTGTCAATTATTCCGTATAACAGTGTTGATTGTCAGTCACAAATAACAATTAAAATGAAAAACTAAGTCGACATTATTATCTAAAAATTTTTTTGTAACTGTTGAGTATAATATATGCTTATATTTTTGTTGGAAAAAGTTTTAGTGCATACTATTGTTTCAACATTTCTCAATAGAGAAATTAAAATAACTAATATTTTCTAACTTGTTCATCATAGTTATTAGATATTTTGTAACTTATATGAATAATTATTTACATATTCATACAATGAATATTTCGCTTCTCTTTTATGGGACAATTTTTAGTTTAGATGTTTTATGGTTAATAATATTCCTTTCGAATTCAATGAAATTTATTTCAGTCTATTGTTTATAAAAAGATAAATTTTTATAATAATTTAATTTTAATGGTTCAAGATTGTTTTGTTATTATATTTAAGCGTATTATCGACGACATGAACTATATCGTTATTTTTATTGATATTACTATAATGCATTTCAAATATTTGCATTTTCACTTGCATGATGGTCTGGGTCCCGAATATTTTGAAAAATTTTAATATTTGATATTTAATAAATTGAAAATTAATCTTAATCAAAAGTAATTATATTATAACTATTCATTAAAATCTTATAATTCAATAACTTGATTAACATCTGTAATTTATTCTTGTGTTATGAATTTAAATTAGTGAATTTAATGTTTATTAATTAACAACTATGATATAAGTCTGATTTTTCCAGTAGGTCAATATAATAATAGTACGTTTTGTTCATATATAATTGTAAAAAAAAAAAATTATTTTACAAAATAGAGTTTCCTATAATGTAAAAAAAAGCAAATATTTATCGTATCGTACGTCATAAAATGATGCACGATATCATTGCTTTATTTAACATTTCAATAATCTGATCTTATATCAATGTCATCAATAATAATACATTTATTGGTAAACTGGTGGGAGCATTATTTATAAAATGTATTAAATATCAGTGTCACACTTAAAATCATATTTTAAGTTTAAGTCAACATTGGTTTAATCTGAGAACGCCATACAATATATATTGTATAAGTATAAGTGATTATGATACTGGTTCTAAGTTGATACGAGGTTACTAACTACGTATCACCCTTAGAATAAAAGTATTTTATTCTGGAGACTCAATCCCCTCATCTCATTGAGTTACATCCTTTATTTTGACATGATTTTCTTAAGTATGACTTATGATTCTATCACGATGCATAGTAGAATTCAAATAATTTTATAAACTAAACATCATTTTAAAAACGTGTTGAAGCTTTTTCTTTTGTTCCAATACAAACTAAGCACTTTTTATTAAACTTTAGGTTTACGTACATTGTAAATTTTTTTTATTGAAAAAAAAATCATAATATGCTGAAACAAATACATTAAATAAATAAAAAATATTATTTTTGGTTTTAGTATATTGTTATGTTAAAGTAGGAAAATAATTTCGTGTTTTAATTTTGATTATTAAAAAAGTTGATAAATAAAAAAAATGCATTTTATAACTAATGCAACATTTGCTAATCATAAAAATCTAGAATTGATTAAATGGTATCGCTTTGATTATGATTTATTTTCTTATGCCTATTAATTTTGATTAATAGTAACAGTTAATTTATGACTCATTTTTTTCATTCCTTCAAAGAAGTAACTAGTACACACAATACCATTTCCTGTTGAGATGATAGGTCTTATTGTTTAAAAATTCTTAGTATTTTGTAACCTTATTACAAAAACTAATTGTAAATTCTTTTGACTATTATTTTTGAAAGTCTTGATTTCTATGTAAAGTTTTTTTTAATGAGTTAAACCATTATGAAACTAATGTAGTGTTTCAGAATTAGTAGAAAATATTATAGTAATAATATATCAAATATATAAAGTGATCGGTTTGTTATAAACCACTTGGTTACTCGCAAAATATATACAATATTAAAAAAAAGTTTTAGCCTTTTTTAGTTACAAATATTTTTTTATTTATTAGCTACTCATTACTTTTTAGAATCATCCTCCCTTATAACTTATAAGGCTGTCGACTTATTATTTTTTTTTAATACTAGTTCATAAAATAAAAAAATAATTATGAAAGTATGTGTTTAGCGTTGATAATGGTAACATTGTTTCCAAAATATGTATGAGAACTGATTTTTATAATAAAAACGTATATCATTACAAAATTAATATCTTCTCAGCTTAGCTTCAAAGCTAAAAAAAATAATTAGTTAAGTATAGCCATAATTTTTCATAATAATTCAAAATTTTAAAACATAAATTTATATGTTTTTAAAAAAAATGTTGTGATTAATTTTATGTTGTAACATGTTTTTGAAAACGTGACAGTAGTTAAAACATGACCTTAACAAAAACTATTAAAATTTAAAAAGAATATATGAATATTTACCTGTTAAGTTTAAGTACATTAATATTTAATAAAATTGTTTTGTTTAATAATTTACTACTATTCATATTTATAATATAACTTATAAATATTATTGTAGATAGTAAACTTTTATGTAATTTAATGCTATTTTTTTTTCGTGTTAAAAAAGTAGTATTAGACTATTTGTTATTTGTTCTCCAACATTAGAAAAATTTTATCTAAATAAAAATAAAACACGTAAGGTGTTTATATAAAAAAAATTATATTAGTTCGTTCATTTTTCAAAAAGTTATAGCAATTTTTAGAAAAAAAAAAGTGAAAAAAATGTCGAAATTTACCGATTTTAAAAATCGTAATTTTTTTGGGGGATTTCCATCATTTACGGAGAACGAGGGAATAATTTTCAATTTTTGAAGGTAATGTCTTCAACTAGATACGATTTGTGATCTTTTGACGTATCCGTTGAAAATAATTGGTCCAGTGAGAGCTGAGAAAAAGTAGTCACAGACACAAAAAAAAAAAATAAATAAAATAATAAACACATCATAGTAAAATTAATTCCTTTTAGCTTCGCATCGAAGCTAAAATCACCGGATATGACTCAAAAATAATGTTCCCAACATTGAAGTCAGGTATACTAATTGATTAAGTAAAAAGTCATAATCAATAAAAAAAAGGGTTTATAAAACTTTGATCTCTTCCAATATTTTAATTTGAATTATTCACACCATTGCTTTTTAGTAAAAAATGTTATTGAAACGACAGTATTTTATTAAATTAATCATATAAATTTCAAGTCTGTCAAATATATTAATTATAACTTTTTTTGTATGTAAGTATATCAATGAATTATTTATTTAAATAATTGATCAATTTTTACAGGTAATGAGGGTAAAATGTCAGATTCTCTCCAATGGTTTGCATTTTTCTCCTATGGTGTTGGACATGTACTTAATGACTTAGTTGCATCCATGTGGTTTACTTATGCTTTGGTTTTCTATCATTATGTCATGCAACTATCTAGCATCAATGCTGGAGCTGTGGTTCTTGTAGGACAGCTTACGGATGCTGTAGCTACTGCTGCTATTGGAGTGTTGTCAGATAATGTAAGTTTCTGTTATATTGACAGGTATGGACGGCGTAAAGCATGGCATCTCTTTGGTAATTAATCAATTATTTTATATGGGATAAAAAAAATCATAACTAAGGTATGTTTATTTAATTTTTACATTCTTTGTTACATTTTATGTATAGGTAGTGTTTTAGTATTTATCAGTTTACCATTTGCATTTTCACCACCGATATTGCCTCAAGTAGAAAAAACAGAACTACTCACGTGTTTATATTATTGTTTTTTCATAGTATTTTTCCAAATTGGTTGGGCATCAATAGAAAATTCTCACATGACTTTAGCTTCTGATTTAACGCCAATTAGAGATGAAAGAACTGCTTTATTGTCAATTAGGTAAGTGTAATTCACTTTTCTACTTAATTATTTATTTTAAGTACTTTAATAATAACTATTTTAAGAACTTTCAATTTGGAATTTTGATATACTTATCATTGAGAATATGTTTTAGCATAGGTATTTGGTGGTTACATTTTTTAGGAAGCTAAAATTTAATCAAGTCAATTTTTTTTTATGTAGCATTTTGTAGGAAATTTAATTGCTTATAAAATAATATAGAAATAGTAGAAGTAGTTTATTAGTAAGGGTAACTATATAAGAGTATAAAATTGACAAGTCTAGTTGTTAAATTTAAAGTATACATTTCTGTTAATAGATATAGTTTCACAGTTTTTTCAAATATCCTAGTTTATGTAGTTACATGGATAGTTTTAACTAGTAATTATACTAGCCAATCACAATTTGGACCATCAGAAAGAAAAGAGTTCCAAGTAAGTCAACTTTTACTTAATAGGTATTCAAATTTAAAAGTCTTAATTTATAGATAGTTATTCTGGTCATAATGATAGTTGGAGCAATGACTACTATCATGTTTCATATTGGAGTTCGTGAACCACAATCTACTTATAATAATAGGGAGCTTTTGATGACTGAAACTGAAACTGAAAGAGTTGCAGATACCTTCTGGTCTATGTTCAAACGTATTACATTGTATCAAACAGCTATTGTATATATGTGCTCAAGAATTGTTGTTAATATGACACTTGTAAGTTAATATACATTTAATTATGTAATGGATCTTTACAATTAGCTTCCTCAAAATTCATAAGATTATCTATATTATTCTATAAAATTATTTTGTAAGGTAGAAAGCAAATTATTCAGTATTTAATTATAACTAATATTAATAAATTCCTAATACAAAATTCAGTATTTTCTGACGAATGATCAGCTATGTGTTTAAGAAGAATTTAACTAACTGTTCAAAAATATTAATAAGTAAAAAAAAATTTGGTTAATTTAGGTTTTTTCATCTTAATCTGTCTATGTAAACAGATGTTAAAGGGAAGGTGGATGGAGGGGGACAGAGTACCCTTTTTATTTGAAGTACAATTTAGTGTCCTCTTTAAATCAAATCCCAAATGTCAGGGGAACACTTTAATTTTGAGTACTTAAAAGTGGAAAGAGTTAATATAAGAAATTTATTCAAAATTGTAAAAAAAAAGTAATTGTTAAAAAACTTAAATTATAAAATGATAAATATTTTAAATTATGTCCGTGGTAATATAATAATACTTGGAGCACGGTCGACCGTGATGTAATTATTTGTTTGTTTTTGGATCATTCAGAAGTGTAATTAATTTTATAATGTAAGCTTAAACAACCATGTAATAAATTTATGACTACACATGGAACTAAAAGACTTACTATAACAAGGGTTATAAAGTGATAAAAATCAAAATGTTAGGTGATATTAGTATTTGTTATATTATTGGAACTTACCACAGTTGTTGATATATTTTTAGTTTAAAATTTATAGTTTGAGGTGAATACTTTATAAATTATATTACTATATTTATCATTTCATATTTTTATATGTAGAAACCTACTTAAATTGGTTCATATTAATATTTTTTTCTCAGTTTGTTTCTATTATAGTATAATATTTTTAATTTAAAAAGACTATTTTGTATTTATTTTCATAATAAATGTTGATATTGACTTAGTGATGTTTTGTATAATATTCATTTCCCAATCCATTCCCATATTGAGATAATTTTTTTTTTACTATTATATTTGCTTATTATGATCAATATCATTTTTAGCCTTTGAGGGGAGACAATTTGGTGTAGCTCTAGAATGCTCCTCAGTTTTTAAAAACTGTAGTCCCCTCCTAGTTTTTCACACTTTAACCATTGTCTGTAAGAGGATAGTTTAAAATTTCTCTCGGCACATTTTTTGTAACAACATTCAGCTAATAGAACACAACTCACCTATCTTCAAAGTGGATGTATTTTCATACTAATTTAACATATTCATTTTTTTTAATTTTATTTCTTGAATTAAATTCTACTCAATTAAGCTCTAGTTGTAAATATATTCAATTATTACATTGTTGATAATTATAAAAAAAAAATTCACATTGAACCATTAGGCAAAAATCTTTAGCAAAAGCACTCCTGAATAATTAAAATTAAAATTCTGTCTTGAAAATATATTTTCTAATATTATTTACAATAACATAATATATTGTGTATAAACAAAATGAAAACAAAAAGTTTTTTACATTAATTGAATTAAATTAAAATCCGACATGATTAAAAGTAAATTTACTTTAAGCAATTGCTAATAACTGAAGTAAGAGAGTGTAAAATCATGTTACTTCAGTTATACCTCAATCAACTCTACCATAATTAATAAATCAGTATACTTTTTACTTTTACAAATACTATTTCAATATTTTCTCTTTTAATTTTTTTTATGAGCGAGATCTGATATTGCAATTTTTCACTTAATTCAATCACAACTTTGCAAATTAATTTGCTACGATTTCCCCTCTAGCTAACATAATTAAATTGTGTTATATTTATATAGAAATTTTTCTCAAGGTGTTCTTGCCAATGTACTTACAAGATTACCTAAAATTAGAAGCTGAAAAATTGGCTCTTTTACCATTAATCATGTTCCTCAGTAGTTTTGGTATGTCTTTACTTAATAAGATAATGAATATGAAACTTGGTAGAAAAGTAAGTTTATCACAGATTTTTTAATTTATTTTCTATATTCAAAAATGTTATTGATTTATAGTACACATACACTTTTGGAGTTTTGTTGTCATTGTGTTCAGCTGTTTGGTGTTATTTAGGGAAAGATTATTCATATGCTCATTATTATGTGTATGTTGTGACAATTATTATTGGTGAGTTAAATTTGTTTTTTTTTTTAACTTATGACCTCATTTCTATTACATATTTTTCAATACTTAGGTAATCATTATGCCTATTATTATTTTACTCTCAATCTTTTTTAAAGGTATGGCATGTTCTGTCATATTGGTGACTAGTCAGGCACTTACAACAGACTTTATTGGTGATCGTACTCATCGTGGAGCTTTTACTTTTGGACTTATGAGTTTCACAGATAAAATATGTAATGGTGCTGTTGTTATGATTGTGCAATCATTGTAATTCTAAACATCATTTCTATTTATAATTTTTAAATTAATTTTTGTAAAATGTTTTAAGACATTGTGAAATATGCCCATTATATTACCGAGATATAATGATTTATAACTGGACCATTCCAGCTTGTCTAGCATTTGTTGCAGTTATTTTATTGCCATATGGAGGACATCCTAATTCAGGTTATATAATATTTAAAAAAAATTAAATTTTTTTTAAATTCATATTAATTTTTTCTATTAGCTTTTTTGTAATTTCAATGTCTATTTTAACTAAAACATGTTATTTATAAAGCTAATTCTACTGGGCCATTGACAATACATTCAAATACTACAGTTAATGAACAAAGGAGATACCCAATTGAAAAAGCTCAAGAGGTGCTACCAGATCATTCCATTATATCATAGCAGAATTTGACCAAAATTATTTTTTACCAATAATGATGACGTGTTTTAATAACTGTTAAATATTATTTTTTTGCTTAAGCCATAAATAATATTTATTAGTTATTAATTTTCAAATATTTATTTGTAATTTTTTATTTATTAATACTGTGATCTATTAAACTATTTCTTATTAAGCTTAATAATTATTACCATATATTTTAAGTTCATAATCTATAGAAACCAAAAATAACAACACAAAAATATTATTTTTAGTAAATGTTTGTTATTTATTAAATTATATTCATTAACATATCAGTTTTTAATTGACAATTATTAGTTTATTTATATTCCTATTTATATATGCATATAAAGTTAATAATATCTTTTTTTTATATTCATACTTAAATTATAATTATTAATTGAATTTTAGAAGATAAATAATTTTAAGTCTATTTTAATCAAATATTATTAAGTACTTTGGCTCAATAACCCATAAATTCTTAAATAAATAAAAATATTATTAAAAAAAGTTACCATAAATCGAAAAAAATTCAAATTATTTAGTTTTTATTGGTTATGTAAATAAAAAAATCTGTTACTTTGTTTTAAAATTTATGAAGTTACACAAATATTAACTATTGTGATATATTATTAAGTATACAAATATATATTATTCAATGTCAATAATTATTCCTAACTATATTACATACTTTATTTTTTTTATTCTATAATAAATTGTTGTATATTATGATATTTGTAATATATTTTATAACCATTGAATTGCATTATTATTATACAGTATGTTTTTAAGGTTGTAAACAAGACAACAAAACTTTTTATTTTATTTATTATTAAAAATAAATAGTAGAAAATATGATTTTAAGGTTGTCCAATAATACATAAAATATTGTTTAAAAATTATAACAAAATCATAATTGTATCAATTTGTATAGAAATTATCAGATCATGTACACAGTGATCGGTTTATCATAAATTACTCAATTACTCTCAAAATAAATAAAATATTAAAAAAAAATTTTTGTTTTTTTAGTTACATATATTTTTTGATTTATTAGCTATTAATTACTTTTAAAGATCATTCTTTATAGCATACAAAGGTGTTAACTTTATTTTTTTTTAAATGATAACATATATATTAAATTAACTTATAAAATAAAAATTATCTTAATAAGAAAATGACTGGTCGATAAAAATTTATGGATCAGTACTATGGATATTATTCTCATTTTTATACATAGGCGGCACAAAAAGTACGGGTGGGAAATGACTAGTAATAAAAATAGTACACACTCCTCATCACTAGTAATTACTTTCTATAGTTAATAACTTTTGAAATACTGGTCCAAAAGTTGTTATCAACCTGTCATTTTTTAAATTAAATTATTTCATATTTTATAAGCTGGTTAGTTATGAATTTTGTCATTTGAAAAAATAAAGTGGACAGCCCTTTAAGTTGTAAGAAATGATACTAAAAAGTATTTATTAGCTGATAAATCAAGAATTGTGTATAACTAAATAAAATCAAAAATTATTTTTCCAATATTATATTTATTTTGTTAATAATCGAGTGGTTTATAATAAAACGATATTTCTGTATAGTATGGCCAGTGACCATTGGATGAAGAGGTATTAAATATATATTATATTTTGTGGATAACTTCAAAAAAATTTTCAAAAAAAAGGACAAAATTAAGAAAAACTACCCTAATCAACAATTAAATAAATAGGTGAAGTCATTATTTAATGATTTTGTAATTCTTTATTTTCCAGGACTGGCAATCACATCAATTCCGATGCATATTGATCAGTTCTAAGGGCTGTAACAGATTACATTTTTAGGCGGTTACCTTTAATTTTTTTGATAACTAATTAAATTGACTTATTTTAATAATTCTAATAGCAATATAGGAATATAAAAATTAAATTAAGGAAAATGTTCAAAATGTAAGTGTTTATTAAAAATAATAAATATGAACTCATCATTTTATGCACTTAAACTTCGTTCATATAATATGAATTTCTAAAAAAAACGTTCAATACAAAATATAACATCTTTCTAAAATCAAAAAAAGATTTCTTTTTCAACCTATGGGTAAAGAATGTTTAATAATAGTTATTAATAAACAGAAAAGATTTTAAAGTAGTCTTACTTAAATTTAAATACATATAAAATTACCCATCAAGATTACAAATAATTTTACAATTAATGTAGGGAAAATACTAAAAAAATATTAAATATACATATATATTAAAATCAAATAGCTTATTAAATAAGTTAAGGCCATTATTGAAAAAACATTATTTATATTTAGATGTTTACAAAATTATAACATGATTTAATTTTAAATCAACTAAAATTGATATTTATGTCAATGATTTCAACTAAAAAACTCAAAGAACTTTTTAATATACTAAAAGTTAAATAAAAATTAAATGTGTAATAATGAATAGATAATAAGCTGAATACAAATGTTTAATCATTTTAAAAATGTTTCAAAAATTAAAACAATAATAAATCTAGTCAGTATAAAGTAACAAATATTGATTTATACAGATTAATAAATATTTTAAAAAAATTTCATCAAAAGAAAATAACTTTAATTAAGTAGAAATAAATGTAATTCAAGAATTAGTCATATTTACAAATAAAATAGATTAAAAGCATCACTATTTTAAAATAGCAGAAACCAATTAATACTTGTTCAATTTTACTACAAAAATTATGATTATTATGCTTTATTATTGTAGTAAATTTTATTTCATTAATTAAGTGTTTATTTTAATAGGCAAATAATTAGTAATTGCACCTAAAACGTTGATATGAATTTTTTTTTCTCTGACCTAACAATTTTTGAAATTATTAAAAATTAAAAATTTATATCAAATATATAAAATAATACATTTTTTTAATAGAAATAATTTTAATTTGTAAATCAATCAATTTTTTTATTATATTAAAATAAAAGTTGAAATGCTTTTTGTTTGAAAATCAATAACTTTAAATAGTTTTAAATAAATGTCGATAACTTACAATTATTTATAAACGTTTTTAAATTATATATTTACTTCAAGTTACTAGTATAAAATTTTAAAACATTCCATAAATGGTAATAATAGATCAATTAATTACATTATACACTATTTTTTCAACAAAATATTATTCCTAATAACAAATTACTGTTTTATTTTATTATATTCAAATAAATTAAAAATAAAATAAATGTTCTATTGTATCTTTTAATTTGTGTCTGTTAAATTAGTATAATATACTAATCATTATAAAAAACTAAGTTTTGTATAAAGCACATTTAAAAATATTCAATAACCTTGTTTTACTTTCCTTTTAAGAAGAAATTTATAAAGGCAAAATAAATGTTACATCAAATATTTAAATTACTTATTAATTTAATGTTCATAAAAATCACTCAAGTCATAACATCGTTATGGCATAGAAAACTCTATTTATGGAATTATTTTTTAATCAACAATAATACAATATTAATATTTGAAGTAAAAATTAATTTTATATTTATAAGAAAATTTAAAGAATTACTGATTGCTTTTTAGCTACTTCTTGTCAAATGAAAAATATTTATAAATACATTTTATATTAATAATATTTCTAAAAAAATATAAAATTAAGAATATTAAATATATTCTCTGCTAATGTGTCAGTAGTCAAATGTGTTTAAGATAATTGAATTTCTATTTAAAAATACACCAGTACTATTTATCATAGATACAGTATAATGTTTATAACTTAGTAGATTAACATTCACCAAGAGTCACTAATTTATTTTTAAACAAGTAATTTAATATTATCTGGTCTTCTTAATTGAAGAGTATTTTTAATACTCTAGCTAGAGTGCAACTAGTCTCATTTACTTACCCTGTTCAGGTACTAAAATAATATATATCATATTAATAATTAGAAACATTTAAAAAATTAATTGATTCTACCTTGCCCAGTTATATCAAAACTTTGAGTAGCTTGTGGACTCCAGCTTGCATTATTAGCAACTGATTCACCATCTTCAGTAACTGTAATTAGCATTAAAAGATTTTGATAAAAGATTTTTCTAAAAATTTAATGGATAACAAAAATTACTCATTTCACTCCAAGTAGCAATAGTTGCATGTGTTGTTTTTGGACTTATACTGTGTCCTAATGGAATTGATCCTTTATGCAATACTCTACAAAATATTAAAAAACATTAAGTTACGATTATATGTACTGGATAATTCAAATAATAGAATTTACTTTTTTTTTGTAGTCCACAAAACGTAATCTTCTCTTTTAAAGTGTTCAGAACATATTCTAAAGCTTTTAGAAACCTGGCTAGAACCGTGGTTTTTAAATTTCTGTATGACTTTGTCATTTTGGCATAATTCAACCCATTGTTTACACCTATTTTCAGTATATTTGAAAAGCATTTTAAACAACTAAGAAACTTAGAAAACTAAATAATCTTACAAAAAGGCCTTAAATTCATAATTGTACTTACAAACTTTCATTTGTTGGGAACTTGTGAAACGAGAGATTTTGAGTACTTCTACTAGAATTGGTACATTTGTTAAAACAGCAATTCATGTGAGACGGCATTGCACAAGTAGTGCTGTGCACTTTTTGCAATTCACTTATGTAGAAAATTTCAAAAATAATAATAAGCCTCTACAGAAAGTTCTAAAATTGAATAATTTTTTAAAATTAAAACGATGTTATGTCTGATAACGCGTTTTGTGATAACGATGATATTGGCGGCATCACTTAATACCACCAGTCGGGCCGTTTCTGTATTCTATTTTTCGTATTTTTTTTCTACTTAAAGTTTTCAAATACTTATTTCGGGAAACTACAAAACTCAATTTGTTCCCTTGTAAATATTTGTTCGATTGAAGTTGCTTTGTTCCAAATCAACTATAAATTCCTATAATTAAAAAAAAACGGTAGAACAGTAGGGTCGCGGCACAGTATAGACGTAGCATAGTTGGGACAAGTATAGATTTAATTTGACAATGATTAAAATCACTATCATTAGAAACGCTTCGATGCAAATCTATAGATAATGTTTAATTTTAACAAATTAATGGATTATTCCAGAAGCTACATGATCTCCTATTTCCTCATTTATATTCTGATTAGTAATTCTTTGATTTAAAAATATATGAATAAGTACTAATTTTAATTATTAAATTTAGTATGAAAATGATGTTCAATAATTTAATATTGTAATTTATAAGGAGAAATTAAAAAAATAATAAAGTAGTTGAATTAATTTTAATGATTTACTTTAACTAAAAAAAAAAAAGTTTCGAATCATTTTGAATCCCTCTTGTGGGCAGGTAAAGGGTCAGACTTATAAAAAAAAAACCAAATGATAGGTAAAGACATGCATCAATATAAAAAAAATGTATACTTATTTGGTCATTTTTGATAAAGTTATAAGTTTTATACACTGGACTACAAGGAACTTTTATCAGAAACAAAAATATACTTTTCTAAATGAACTTTTCGCGATGTTTTCAATTGTGCAATTAAACTTTTTCTATTACTTCTAAGTTTTAATATTATTACTTATTATTAAAAAATAAGTATTTACATATAAAAAAAAATAATTAAAAACAAAAAAAAATTGTTTTAAATTAATACTGATTTTGATTAATAATATGTTAAAATAAGGAAAATGACATAAATATGTCATTTATCCATTGTTAATTCAGGAGAAAGGAACAATAATTTTTTTTAGAAATTATTTATATAGCAACATGTTAATTGTTAAATGAAAATTAAACTTAAGTTTAATTTATGTGCAAAAATTGCTTTTTTGAATCCCCCCCGTGGGCGGTCAAGTGTCAGATTTTCAAAAAATTTATATTAAATGAGAGAAATATCTAAGGTTACAATATAAAAAAAAATTATGTTGATTCGTTCATTTTTCAAAAAGTTATGGCAGTTTTAAGTACCAAAATAACATTAATTTTGTACACGAAAATTACATTTTTTGTTCAATTTTGACGGTTATTTGCATATAGAAGATAGATCGTCAGGACAAATTTTTTTTTTAACTTATAGTACATAATGTAAGCTTTAATCTAACATATGTTAAAAGGACGCAGTATTTCCGGAACATTTTCAAAAGTTAAGTTGAAAAAGTTCTACTTTTTATACGTATGTTTCAAGTTTTGCACTCCCCCTGTATAAAGGAAAATTGTCCAATTTAAATAAAAAGTATGTCAAATAAAAGAAGTATTCATAATGTATTTAGGAAATATAAATTTGTGTTGATACATACATTTTTCGAAAAGTTATAGCAATTTAAAGTTGAAAAAATAAAATCGAAAAATGAAAATTTTAAAACAAAAATAGCATTTTTTGAACTACGGCAACCTTTTGCACGTAGAAGATAAGGTGTCGGGACAAATTTTTTTTTGTCATTTATAGTACTGGACATAAGCTTTAATTTGATATATGTTTAAAGGACGCAGTATTTCCGGTACATTTTCAAAAGTTGAAAAAGTTGCTATTTTAAATCCCCTCCTGTGAGCAGGTTAAGTGTTACATTTTCAAAAAAATGATAGCAAATGAAAAGAAATTACATTAGGTTACAATATAAAAAAATATTATTTTGATTTGTTAATATTTGAAAAAGTTATGGCAGTTTTAAGTACAAAAAACATCCCGATAGAAAAAATTAATGATTTATAAAATTGTAATTTTTTTGGAAATTTCCACCAATTACGGGGAACGAGGGAAATATTTTCAATATTTGAGGGTAATGTTTTCGACTATATACGATTTGTGATATTTTGACGTATCATTGAATGAAATCGGTTCAGTGAAAGCTGAGAAAGTGGTGACACAAAAAAAAAAAAAATAACTCATCATACTTAAAAAATACCTTCTCTGCTTCTCATCGAAACTGATATATTAAAATATTTTGAAGGTAAGGAAAAATAATTTTCACTATCTTTTATTTTAGGGATTTTGAAAAAAATCTTAAAACCAAAATAGTATACTTCATACAAGAATATTTTTCCTTCTGAGGCTTTCAATAATATACAAAACCATATTAAATGCTCATTATGAATGATAATATACATAACAACCTATATTTTATTATTTTAATCGGTATCCCTTTCTAAATAGCTTAGACTAACATTTGCATACTATAAAAATTACAATTTTTATAAAACCAAAAATATTTTAGAGTTTTAACTAAGAATAATTATATGATTTTTTTTTTCATACAATCTATTCAAACAAATAGTTATTGATATATTTTATAATTTAATTATTTTTAACTAAATAATAAAATCATTATATATCATAAAAGCGTAAATAATTAAAAAAATCCATGAGACACAGATTATTCACTGAATTAAAACTTAATGAATTTGACATAACATTTTACACGCTGTATATTATAAAAATGAATTTAAGAATAAATTATAAACCAACATATCACAATTAAAAGAAAAAATTAATAATAATAAATATATTTATTGGTTAAAAAAGTTAATATAAAATTATTTAATTGACATATAATAATTTAATAATATTAACATAATAAATATAACATCAACTTATTTGTGAATGTGAATAATACCTATATAATTGTAAAATATTTAAATGATAACAAAGTAGTGAATATATTTAATTTAATTTCAGGTAAAAATAGAACACATTATATAGTTATTTAATTGTAACCAAAAATAAAATTGATAGTTTTAAAGTAAATAAAAATTTTAGTTAATTCAAAAGCTATATGATAATACAAATTTTTGGGTAAAAGTAAAACAGGAATAAATAAACAGTATAAATTCAATATAATAATATTTCAACATAGTATTCTAAATTAATTTCTGAAAATTTTAGTTTGAATAGGTTTCTTAAATAATTGGTAAAACCATGAAGATTGGGTATATATCAGATCAAGCTATAGCTTTTGCTTCAGGAATGAAAGCTTGCCAATGCTTTATTATCTAAAGATATAATTTGATAAATTTTCATTTAATAAATGTATAAACATGAATGAATATTTATAATTTTACTTGAGTTTGGTGATTTATCATTTCTTCAAGGTAAGATGAAATTACTGTTTTGAATTCTTTAATTCTATTGATTTCAAATTGTTCAAACTCAATTTTTATAGTTTTAGATATTTGATCAAATTCATCTTGGCATCTTGATAATTTGGCTTCCCACTGTAGAATATTATATTATAGTATAAAATAGATGTATTAGGATTTTCAGGTCACATGTTTTATTTTTACTAAAAATCAATTTTTCATAGATGAGCGACCCTAGGATAGGCTAAAAATCGATTTTTAGATAAATCTATTTTTAAATTTTTACTTAAATTTTTTGGATTACAATATTTAGCATTTTTAGGTATCAGAAGCACTTTTTTAGCTTAAAAATTAATTTTTTTAACTAAAAAAAAAAGAAAAAAGAGAGTACATAATAGCATATTAAGAGTATTTTTAATAGACTATCTTACTTCCGTAACTTCATTTGCAACTATGCCAACTTTATCTAAACGCCCTGTAATTTCTAATTTATTTTTTTGTTCACGTTTTTTAGATAAAATCATTTGAGCATGCTGCATGTTTTGATATACTTTAACTCTTTCATGAAATACATCCTAGAAGTATAAAAAATTAATTTATAACTTTCGCTTTTAAATATAATTTTTATTGAACTCTATCTATTGATAATATTTTAAACACCAATACATTATTCAAAATATATCATTTCAATTTTAAATTTTTTCAAAAAGTATTTAGTACTACTATTATTTTGTTTTTATAATCAGGGTTGATAAAGATCTGTCCAGGGGGGTAAATAGATAAGCAAAATCATAATTTAATGAAAAGGTAAATAAATAATTTAAAATTTGCATAAATAAATTGAGTTTATTTCATTTTTGTAACTCTTTTGATAAGTTTTTTACCTATAAAGATTTAACTATACTTTAATATAGTTTAAATAATTATTATCAAATAAACTGTATAGTGATTTTTTATTTGATATACAATGTTTTATTTTAAAGGTTTTATTGATATTTTTAATCCATTTAATTATTTTTGGTCAGTTTTGGATAAAATAATACTCATATTTTTGGAACAATATTTTTAAGTTTTAAAACTTATTTATTTCTGTTATGGTAGAATTTTATTGAGTTAATAATGAAAAATATTTTTAAATGTTTTATTAAATGGTAAATATTAGTATTAAATAATTATTAAAATATTAAATTATTAAACAGATATGAAAATAGATAGTTCATTTAACAGTTTAATAATAAAATATACGTTGAAATTATAAACAAAATTAGTACCATTAAACTTCTTTTTAAAATTTCTCAAAAATTTTTGCAAGAACTTATACATGTGATGAACATTAAAAATTTCTCTTAACTATATAAATTTGAAACTAAGACAAACATAGATAAAATTATCACCAACAATAATATAAGTAACAGTGTTGTACCCCAAAATACCAGCCTTGTAATTATTGATATAATTTACTTTGTTAGGTGTTACCTAACACTATTATGTCCTCCAAAAACTAATTCTTGCCGTTTAATGTGTCATGTACCTTATATTTAACATTTTCAATTTATTTTATTTTTAAATATAGAATAAATAATTTACAAGAACATACTTTAACAGCTCCTATCAAACCAATATAATCTTTTAACAGCTCACAAAAAATTGAAAAATCTGTATTAGCTTGTTCAGTTCTTACAGATTCAACCTAAAATATAATGTTGCATTATTATACTTGGTAATTAAAAAATTTACTTATTTATTATTATAATCATATTATTACAATAAAAGTATTACGTAAGTGTTATATAAACAAAAACAAGGATAATAATTTAATTTTAACCTTTTCAAATACATCAGCAAGTTGTGATAATGCACGAGAAAGACCTGTATGTTCTTCACAGTTACTTAAAACTGCTGCAGATTTAGCAAATGATCCACTTGCATTAGCTAATTCTTTCCGATTAAAAACTAATGATTCAACAGCTGCATGTAAATTGCGTAACTGAGAGTCTAAATTATCAATCTGAACCTCTTTCTCTTCAAACCACTAAAAAAAAAAAAAAATATTATCTGCTTCTTAAATTTAGTAAAATTTGCATTGTATATAATAATATTTTTTAGAAGGGGGAAATATGTTAAATAGTCACTCCAAAAATATTGATAGAAGTGCGTCCATGCATATCTAATATGCCTATATAAGCAAATGTACCAAAATATACAATATATAAACACATATTTAGATTCATTGATAAATATAATAAATTTTTTTCTAACAAGATTTTTTTTAAGTTTCTGCAAAAAAAATATGTAAATATTTTGCTCTAGTTATTTTTATCACTAAAACTAGTAAAATAAAAAACAATGAAGTTTATTTCATTCATTTTATCGAAACACAATNATTTGCATTGCATATAATAATATTTTTTAGAAGGGGGAAATATGTTAAATAGTCACTCCAAAAATATTGATAGAATTGCGTCCATGCATATCTAATATGTCTATATAAGCAAATGTACCAAAATATACAATATATAAACACATATTTAGATTCATTGATAAATGAAATAAATTTTTTTCTAACAAGATTTTTTTTAAGTTTCTGCAAAAAAAATATGTAAATGTTTTGCTCTAGTTATTTTTATCACTAAAACTAGTAAAATAAAAAACAATGAAGTTTATTTCATTCATTTTATCGAAACACAATGATATAAATAAATCTCAAGGAAAACTCACAGGTTCATTTTCATCCATTTTGTAAGTTATTTTATTTACAGTTTCTCCGACTTTATTAAAAAGTCTCATTACACCTGCACTGCTTAGAGCAGATGTATTGGTAGCTTTAGGAAGTTCACAATCTATAAAGATAAAATTTAAATAGAGCAATTAAATTTTTTGAGATAAGCAAACTAAGAAAATTGTTTAATACCTACCTTGTTCTAAAAAATCACGAAAACTTTTATCATTTCGTAAGACAGGATGTAATGCAATTCTTTTTAAAAATCTCTCTAAAGCTAAACGTCTTTTTTCTATAAATTCAGCTGAAGTAGCTTGATCTGATTGATTGCCAGATATTTTTATTCTAGTAGTACCTACATTCATAAGATTTATTAGTGAATTCATAATTTTATTACACCATACAGACGTATTAATAACAACGACCAAGAAATTACCTAACATATTTTTTTGAGGTGCAGGTGGTATAAGCCGTCCATTTCTTAAATACTTTTCAGTCAGTTTGTTGTGTAAGCCAAGAAAGTCACTAAATCTTCTTAAAACAGCCATATTAGTATTTTTAAACATTGACATATTTGTACGTGTAACAACACGATATGCTACATAGGAACTCATTCCTTCTCCTACTTTAGTAGTTTCAGATAAAGAAATTTTTATAAATCCATTTTCAACATTTTCATTATTCTTTTCATTAATAGTATCTTTTGATTTAACTTCTTCTTGTACAGTATTAATGTCATTTAATGTAGTTGTTATAGGTTCATCATTTTCTTTTAAATTAATTTCTTCTTCAAACCCATTGGATACTACAGTGGTATTTAGAGTTTCTTGATGATTTGACTATAAAAATTATATACATACATTTTTCTTAAAAAAATAAATTTAAAATACAATATCTTAAAAACTAAAAAAAAAAAATGTCTGAATACTATATCTTAAGTGTCTAGAAATTTTAGATTAAGTAAAATGCTTAAATTATTTCATACAAATTAATTTTTCAATGAAAATATAATGATGCAAATCTAAATAAGAAAGTATTAATATTAATTAAGAATCTATTATAAATTTCACTTTAGAATATTCTACACTATTTAAAATTAGATAGCATAACTTTTACTAAAAATGTTTAAAATATATTTACTAATATAACTAAATGTATAGAGGTCCACTGAGAAATTCACATTCCTATTTTCCATTTTTTACCCAAATTAGTACCACTAATTATTTACAAAATGAGCCTTTTAGATTAATTTTAAATGGTGCCAATATGGACCCTCATGTGTTATCTTATTAACCTCACTCTTTAATCATATTTTGTATAGCTAAAAATATTCTTAATTTTGTATATTTGTGTGTCCTAATATTTTAAATGAATTGTTGTGAATTATATTACATTTTAATAAATTGTTAAACAACCTATAATTGTAAAAAAGGGCTATGCTTGTTCATTTTATAAATAGATGATATCAAAATTATACTACAAAAATATAAAATTATTCAAGATATTAGATTAAATTTTTAAAAGATATATCTTTGTATATTTAATACTCACTTCATTATTGCTAGTATCTAATGGTACTTCAATAGTTGAATCATCTAATAGTATTTCTGTTGATGTATTATTTAATGAAACATTAGTTAGAGGTGGTATAGGAGCTGAGAATAGGTCATCATTTCGCGAGGCACTCAAATTCTAAAAGATATAATGTAAAAAAGAAACGCAAACTTTAATACAAAAATTATGGTAAATCAAACAACGCCCCTTTAATCTGTGAATACAAGTGTTAATCACTTTAGTAAAACTTACATCAATAGTTGAACTAAAAATATCATCGTCTTCCTCATCAGATGAAATTTTAGGTGGTAATTTTTCAGTCATAGTGAAAAAATTACTTTAAGTAACCACTAATTAAAGTTAATAAATACTTAAGAAATTTTTTTAATACTTAATGCTGGAGGAAAATTTAGTTATTATAAATATTTATAAAAAATGATTCCCTATCAAGTAGTCGTACACGAATATGGAATATTCCCTCTCCAGTGTTAGCATTTGATAACAAATGATTATGGTATTGAAAGTGATAAGCTCGTAGAATAACATTGCTTGTAATGTTAATTTAATAAGTTTATTAAAATGTTGGTTACACTGTTTTGAGCATTGCCAATATCGTGGTATGTAACCTTAGCAAAAGTAATTCACTCACACTGAATTAGATATCTTATGATATATATAAATACATATATTTACCGAGGTTGCACTGTACTTAAAGTGTTATTCCAAAACTTGGAATAACATGTCTTATATATTATTTACTGTAAGGCCATAATATAATAAAATAATAAATGTCTTTATATTAGACTAATTAATATCATATGTGTTATGAATTTAACTAAATTCTCAATTATCAAAAAAACAATATTTCATTATTCATTATTTTAGACACGTAAAGAAACAGTGTAGCCAGACCAACACATTTTTATATGTAAACTTGATTGATTTGTGACTTTTGGTATTACTGAGTACTATTTCGTTTACTGCTTGACACATTACAGGTTTCCGCTAGACTTTAAGAATCGTCGTCTTTCTCATTTTGGATGCGATCGTCTAATCAACGTGTATCGTGGTTACAATTTTTGTAAGTGTATGTATTTTTTTTTTTTATTTATTGACATTTTATTATTCTCTAAATGATTTAATTATATTTAAATAATAAATACTGTATCTTCATAATAATATAAAAATATTTCATATTACTATTTGAATTGTCCCGATTAAAATGGATAAAGAATTCTTGACAAACATTGCAAGACAATTTTTAAACCCATTTCATTGCAGTCGCGTTCTGTTATAGTTTATTAAATTTTTTTTTCAGAACCCTAAATTTATTAATATTGTTTTTTAATGCACTTTATTTGAACAGACATGTATGTCATCTAATGGTATTTGAACAATTTTTTTACAGTTTCAGGTAATTATTCATCATGGTTAACGGACGTATCCCGTCTGTTTATAGTAAAACTTATGTGACGCCTCGTCGTCCATATGAAAAAGCTAGATTAGACCAAGAATTGAAAATAATTGGGGAATATGGGCTACGTAACAAGCGTGAAGTGTGGCGTGTAAAATACACTTTAGCTAAAATTCGTAAAGCTGCTCGAGAACTTTTAACTCTTGAAGAAAAAGACCCCAAACGTCTTTTTGAAGGTATGTTAATAAGTTTTTATAAATTCAGTATTAATTATTTAAAAAATGACACTATGATGAAAATTTAAATTATTCTGACACCTCTCGTCTGAAATTCCCTGTTGTTATCTAAACCTTGCTGAGTGTTATTAATATTTAGATTTTATTACCCACTTATATTTATTTTATTTATGCTAAGAAAGAAATTTTTAGTAAATTAAATCTATAATAAAATTGTAAATAAATGCAGTCATTACTTAAACAGTTTTAACATTATAATATTTTTTCATAAATTTTATTAAATAAACAAATTTAGTATAACAATATACTAAGTCAAACTATTACGCCATTTTTATAGGTAATGCTTTATTGCGTCGTCTAGTTCGAATTGGAGTGTTGGACGAAAGTCGCATGAAACTTGATTACGTTTTGGGTTTAAAGATTGAAGATTTTTTGGAACGTAGATTACAAACTCAAGTGAGCTAGCTCAATTATAGTATTATTAAATATTAGCTGTTTTAACAAATTAAAATATTAAAAACAAATTAAGTATTGTGTTGCTCTCTGATATTTATTTATTATAATCATAAATAGGTTTAAACTATTAAGCCAATATAGAGTAAATTAATATTCACATTTAATAACCCCAATATCAAATTACAATTTATAATAATAGAAAGTATTAAACATATTAAATTTAAACACATATCTTAATATAGAAAAATATCAATGTAATTTACTATACAATTTCCCAAAATTAGGACCTGTTTGAAAATGAGATGCAAAGCTATAATTTTTGGNTATAATCATAAATAGGTTTAAACTATTAAGCTAATATAGAGTAAAATAATATTCACATTTAAAAACCCCAATATCAAATTACAATTTATAATAATAGAAAGTATTAAACATATTAAATTTAAACACATATCTTAATAGAGAAAAATATCAATGTAATTTACTATACAATTTCCCAAAATTAGGACCTGTTTGAAAATGAGATGCAAAGCTATAATTTTTGGTTTGAATATGAATTCATTTTAGCCTTCTTGTATTCAATTGTTTAGTATAAAATCCAACTATTAAAATTAATTTAGGGTTATTTACATAAAAATTAAGTATATCATTTAAAAATAACATAATTTTTCATCTTATGTCACATAAAGTAATATCAGTTGAGTAACATTTAAATAATATGAATGATTAGTTAGATTTATAATTAATTTTAAAACTAATAATTTTAGTAAATATACATATTAGCGATGTATTTAAGTCTGTAACTTTGTAGTGCCTGACACTCGCTACTTCTGGTTTGAAACTGTCAATGACAGCTTTATTTACCAAACTGATCGTTTCAGTTTGGTAATTGGAGTCCTCATTCTTCTTTCTGGCGATGGACTAATTAATTGTCCCGTAGTATCAATGATTAAAAAAGTCTTCCCTTTTGGGAAGGTCGTTATACTTTTTAACGAGCCTAAAATCCAAAATAAAATATATATTGAACATTTTTTATTATGTTTTATTAAAACATAATAACGTTCCACACTCTAGTTTAACCAAACAAAAGTAAAACAACAAACTGTTGTTAAAATTAAAATTTAATATTAATATTTTTTTATTCATTTGTATTTCTATTAAGAAAACTCAATATCTTAAATCATTACAAGCTGATGTATTAATGTGCTGAGAACAAATTAGATTATATTGAAAAATTGAATATTGCTGATTTTATAATTTCTTAATATCAATTTTTAAACTTTTCATTTTTTTTTTTTAATGAATTTTTTCTTTATAGAACTATATTTAAAATATGTTTTATGTTATTTTTTGCAATTACAAAAAATATTTTAAAAATTAATTTTTTATTCAAATTTTTTTTAAGATTGAAGATAGACATTTTATAGATAAGTATTAAAGAAAAATGTTGATATTATAAATTTATTTTAATTCAGTAGTTATGTTTATACAGCATTTTTAAGTTGGTTTAATTTAAATTTTTTATTACAATTTTCCTATGGTATCAAATGTTAGTCCATATTATGTAATGGACGTAAGTAAACACTGTCTTTTTACATTATTTATTGGTATCAGTATGCTATTTCTTTTTCATGGATAATGGATAATGTTTGACGCGCTTTATACAGAAATAATTATCTCTAATCTTTATTACAAAAAATAGAAACATCCTATATCAACTACTAGTGTTTTGTGGTTAGCCATGTTAAAAGTGATAACAATTATTAATTTGTGTGATTCTATCATTGTAATAATATTTTATTATAGGATATTCCTTGTTAGGAGATTTGATAATAAATGCACTTATTCACTGTTATTTACGTTTAAATTTATGATATGTGAACTTATTTAATTAAAAACTCAACATATTTTAGACAATGTTTCTATACATTTTTTTAATTATCTTAATTATACTACTACTTGTTTTTTCATGGAAAAGAAATCATGTACTGTTACTAGTAAATAATGTAAAATGTATTTACTTAATATAATATCTTTTATAAACATTTGATACCATAGTAAAATAGAAAAAAAAAAATCAAAATTTATTAAACCTAAAAATGTCATATAAACGTAACTACTGAATTATAATAAGAGTTTTTGGTATCAAAACATTTCTATAAAATAGCTATCTTCAAATCTTAAAAAAAAATTAAATAAAAAAATTAATTTTTAAAATATTTTTTGTAATTGTGAAAAATAACATAAAACATTTTATATATAGTTGTACATTGTAAAAATTGATTAAAAAAAAAAAGTATAAAATGTTACATAGATCTTAAGTTTTATGAGTTGTCAGTTAGATCTGTACTTCTGTATATAAGAAAAATGGTATAAAACAAATAAAAGTGTTCCCACTGGTAACTCCTATATGGAATAGTTGGTTGTAATATAATTACAAATCAGCTTGTTTTATTTTTACAGATTCTCTTACTCAAGTATTATTCATTAATAATTGAAATCAATAATTAATGAACTTTTTAATACATCTACTCGTGTATAAAATGGTTTTTTATTAGTGCTATATTGAAACAATTTGTACAAATATTGGTTAATTTTCGATATTGTTGTAGATTCCTTTAATGTATTAAATAAGTACTAAAATCTAGCCAATTTCATCATGATGAACTTAAATTTATTTTCTGACACCTCTTCTGAAAATTGTTTGTTGATATTGTGTATTCTGAGAGATTGGCTTAATTTATTTTGTAGTTTTATTAATATAATTTTTATTTTTCTCAATATTCTTTTGTTTTATTATTTTAAATAGGTTTTCAAATTGGGATTAGCAAAGTCAATTCATCATGCACGTGTTTTGATTCGACAGAGACACATTCGGTAAATTAAGAAATAAAGTATTTATTAATTATAAGCACATAACTGATATTTGTGGTTTGAAATAAATGTTGCCAATTGTTTTGGGCAAGGAGACTGGATATTATTGTAGCCAAGTTAATCCTAATCACAATTGGCTATAGTATGACATTGTGTTAATCCAAGGTGTGATATAATTGTCTAGCCTTTTTCATGACAATGTAATATTTTTTAGTTAATTAGTTATTTGCCTATCAGTTTTGGGCAAGGATATTTTAAATCAATTAAATTAATCCTAATCACAATAAGGCAAAATCATAGCATTGTGTTAATCCAAAATTGGATTGAAATTTTCCTTTTTTTTTTCATGACAATGTTACATGATGCAAAACTACTTTTAAATAACTAGCAAATAAAAAATATGTTAATAATTTAAATTTGTTAGCCTATTGGTTTTGGGCAAGGATATTACTATTTTATTATATATTTTATCCTAATCACAATAAGGTAAAAATATAGCATTGTGTTAATCCAAAATTTGGTAGTAATTATCTTATTTTTTTCATAACAGTGTAACATTCATTTATAACATATATATATATATATATATTAGCCTAGTTAAAAGTGGTAACAATTATTAATAATGATATACAGGGTGATTTTTTTTATCATAACCCACTCAATTACTTGCAGAATAATAATAATTTAAACATTTTTATTATCTTAGTTACACATTATTCTTGAATCTTTAACTATGTAATACTTTTTAAGATCATCCCTTATGCCTTGGAAGGGTGTCAACTTTTTTTTTTAAATGGTAACACATATTTTTAATTTAATAAAATGTTTGAGTTTTTAATTTAATAGTAAATGGCATTTGAATTTTTAATATAACTTAATTAGCTTATTAGATATAAACATTTAAAGTTTCAAAATTTTGAGTTAATATACATGTATAATACACATGGGATTGTAAATACAGGTAGCTAATTGGATTTTTATGACATTGCTGTCTCAGTCACGGATTGTTTATTATCAATTATGATTATCAATAGATATACTTTCTGTATTGTCAGTTAGTGTATTTATAAACTCATAACAATGTGCCTTACTACAATTGATAATAACAATTCTGTGTACCTGCTAATATCGATGTTATAAAAAACCAATTAGCTACCTATATTTGTAATCCCTTGTGTATTATACCTGTATATTAATTCAAAAATTTGAAACTTTAAATGATTATATCTAATAAACAAATTAAGTTATATTAAAAATTCAAATGCCATTTACTATTAAATTAAAATCTCAAACATTTTATTAAATTAAAAATATAAATATATAATATATAAAAATATAAACCCAACACAAACATGTATAAAAAAGTAGTGTTAAGTAGAATTTGTAAAAATTGGTAATAAGTTATTTTATGTGCCCTTAAATTTTTGAAAAATTCATTTTATTAAATTTTATAACACAATGTACATTAATTTGACATTAAATTTTAACTGAATTTTTTTTCTAACTAGATGTTAAAGTTACATTCTTTGAGTTCCCACTATATATTATAACAGACCACTTGAAATGCACATTTGTTTAAATGACATTTTAACGTCTGTGTTATAACCTAAATGTTATAACTTGATGGTCTTTAAAATAATTGTTATTGTTAAATCAATATTATAATTAGTGAGTACTTAATCTTTTGCTTCTCTATTGTCCAAAATTCATGAAAAACCAATTATTTTAAATCTGATTTTTGTAATTTCATATTTTTAGAGTTCGTAAACAAGTAGTCAATGTTCCTTCATTCATTGTTCGTTTGGACTCCCAAAAACATATTGACTTCTCATTGAAATCGCCATTCGGTGGTGGTCGTCCTGGGCGTGTTAAGAGGAAAAATTTGAGAAAAGCTAAGAATGCTAAAGATGATGGTAATGCTGGAGAAGAAGAAGAAGATTAAACTACATGTTGAATTTACATAATTTAATTGTGTATTGTGAAATATAACTGTATTAATCTTATTAACTTTTCTTGTTTGTTGTTCTTGTCTTGTCCATTCAACACATAAAATATGCGTTTTTTTTTGCATAGGTTTAAAATAAAAGGAGTCATAATCCTACAGTTTCATTTTTAGTTTAGATTTAAAATTGTAATGACTCCCAAAATACTCGTTTATGATTTCTTTTTCAACCAATAATTTTCTGATAAGTTAGTTAAATATGTATGTATCTACTTGAAAAAAATTGTCACCCATCTAACTCGGTCACAATAAATGCCAACAAATTAAGTATTTAACTAAAAAATACATAGAATAATTTTTATTTTATAATTAGTTATTGAAGTTATTTTTTTAGCTTCGTTACGAGGCTGAGAAGGTATTAATTTTTTCTTTATGTCACTACGTTTTCTCAGCTCTCACTGGACCGTTTTTTCTCAACAAAGCGTCAAAAGGTCGTATATAAGAAATTATCCTTGAAAATTAAAAATTTTTCCCTCGTTCCCGGTAAATTGTGAAAATCCCTTGAAAAATTACGATTTTTTAAATAGGTAAATTTCATTTTATTCACTTTATTTTCAAAAATTGCCTTAACTTACTAAAAATGAACAAATCAAAATAATTTTTATATAATAGAACTTAAGATATTTCCCTTTCATTTGATATCATTTTTTTGAAAATCTAAGAACCTTATCACAGGTATTCAAAGTTGTAACTTTTTAAAATGTACCGGAAATGCTGCGTCCTCTAATATGTTAAATTAAAGCTTGTTACGTACATAAATTAAAAAATTGTCCCGACAACTTATATTCTATGAGAAAATGGTTATCGTATTTAAAAAACATCATTTTTCTATTCCGAAGTTTTCTTTTTTGTTTTAAAATTCCTATATAAAGGTTTTCTATAGTAAAGAGTCCATCAATTTTTATAAAATTTACATAAATCTAATTTTAGTTATTAGTGAGGTGACATAATGCCCATGCACTCGAACCTGTTGGTCCGTTGTGCACACTTAATACCGAATTATCTTGATTCGGTTTACACATCAAAGTTTTATTACATTACACCTATTATTGTATAAGGGGGGGCTATCAAGTCGCCCCCTGTAAATGATCTAAGAGTCCTGTCTTTCTAATGAAATTAAGTAGATATAGGCCGTAGACATGGGTGGCGCGTGGCCCAGGGCCGGCCCCCCCAAATTTAAAATTCAATTATTTTTACGAATTATCAAAAACTTGCTAGGCCTTATATACATTGAAATTATTATTAATTTGTGATTACTATTGAGTAATACAGTTATTATTATGGCTGTATTTTCATTTTTATATTCATAGAAAACGTCATTTAAAAAAGATAACGTTCTAGACATAATAATAAATGCAATAGCAGTTACTCCAAACGTGGTTGTAGGTAAATTTTTTTTAACTCTGGTCCAAAAAATGATAAACTACCAAGTATCTGCATTGATTAGAATCTAGTTGATTACAAAATTCGATAGAGTATACTCTATGAAAAAATTTTTTATAAATCTTATCATTAATTTGTTTCTTTTTTTATAATTTAGTAGTTACAATAGGTAATTTATTTGTTTTTGTTAATTTGTTATTTGCGTGCTCTAAATAATAGTAATAAAAATATGACTAAAAAAGGCATTAATTGTAATTAAATTTAAATAAAATAAATTTTACATTGTTTATAATTTATATTTATTTTAAAAATGTTTATAACTTATTTGTTATTAGTATTTAGGTATAAATTATTTTTTCTTAATAACTTAAAAGTTGAAAAATTAAATCAGCTTATGTTCACATCATTATTTTATTAGTTTCGATGCGAAGCTGAGAAGGTATTGGTTTTACTATGATGTGTTTTTTGTTTTTGTGTGTCTGTTACCACTTTTTCTCAGCTCTCACTGAACTAATTTTTTTCAACGATACGTCAAAAGATCACAAATCGTATCTAGTCGAAGACATTACCCTCAAAAATTGCCATAACTTTTTTTATATAGATGCATGATATCGTTACTTTTCATTTGATATATTTTTTTTATAAATCTGACCCTTTATCTGCCCACGGGGGGATTTTTCACAAAAAATTAACTTTTTCCACTTAAATTTTTAAAATGTTCCAGAAAGTCTGACACTTATCTATATCTTAAATTAAAGCTAATGTAATGTACATTTTTTTTTCAAAAAATTTCGGACTTTTTTTGTCTTCACGGTGAAAATGGCTACCAAATGCTATTTTTGTTTGAAAATTCTCGATTTTGTTTTTTTAAATTTTTAACTTTATAATGCTATAACTTTTTGAAAAATGTATGGATCAACACAATATTTTTATGAGAAATAATATTTTTTTATAATCCCTTTTTCATTCGACATACTTTATCTTAATCAGGATATTAATAAGGAAATAGTAGATCATGTAACTTTTGGAATAATCCACCAATATTTTAAAAATAAACACAAATTTTGAACTTGTAAGATTCATAGAATGGGATACTGTCTAAGGAAGAGTGGAGGGAGCCCCCCCACAAGCTTTTCATGGGAAACAAATTATGAAAAATGATACAAGGGCCCAAAATTGTTGGCCCCTCCAATAAACATTTTCTGGCTATGTTCCTGGTCGGAATGTTTGTTAGCAAAAATTCTATTCCACAGCAAACTCGGAACGGAACGAAATTCCACGTTCCGGAACAATATTTTTGTTTGTTTCGAATCCCTGATAGCAATTAAATTAGTATGTGATTCATATTTAATAATTTAGTATTGTAATTTTTTCGGAAAATTTATAAAGAATTATAACGTAGTTATTACTTTTATAACGAACGTGTATAAAATTGAAGAGCTTTGCACAAAAATTTTTAGATAACAATTTGTTGTTAATTATGAATAAAAGGTCTGCAAAAAATTTTCATCGGAATCAAAAATGTACTTTTAAATTTTTCGTGCTAATTTTAAATCAGCAATTAGATTTTTTCTATTACCAATAATTTTTGATATTATTACTAATTAGTTAAAAACTATAGGATATAATTATAAGGAAAATAGTTCTGAATATTTCAATTGTATCATCTATTTAAACACCAAGAGATACATAGACATGATCAATATTTCTTTTGAAATTATTTATTATAAAAAAAAAATAATTAAAAACAAAAGAAAATTGTTTTTAAATTATTACAGATTTTTATTTAAAGTATTATTTTTAACCTACTTTTTTTGTTTTTTAAAGTTGATTTTTTGAAAGTTTCTAATAAAAAAAACGGTAGCACAGTGGGGTCGAGGCACAGTGTGGACGAGGCATAGATGGGACAAGTATAGATGATATCTGACANTTGTTACCATAATTTACAGCTCAACTTCAAGTTTGAAATTTACGTTATAAAATAGAAAATTTTATGAGAATTAAAAAATAGTTTTGTTAAGATTAATATGCAATCAGGAAATCACTGAAATAGAAATCATAAAAATCACATCTAAGTAACTTTTGGTGTTTAAAAAGAATCTACAATTGAAATATTCAGAACTTAATTAATTTTAATGATTTACTTTAATTAAAGAACCAATCAAAATGTTGTTAAAGAAATCTACTCAATTGAACGTATTATAAAATTTGATTATAATTTTAAATTTTAATATTAAATTCAGGTGAAACTAAAAATAATTTGTATTTAGATTTATGATTTATATAGCAACATGATACCAAAAAACCTAGCACAAGGGGGTCACAGCACAGTGGTGACGTGGCATAGTTGGATTAAGTATATTGATATCTGACAGTGATTAAAATCTTAAAATCTTAAAATACACTTTTCAATAAGTTATAGCATTATAAAGTTAAAAATGTAAGAAATAAAATCGAGAATTTTCACACAAAAATAGCATTTGGTAACCATTTCCAACGTGAAGACAAAATAAATTCCGAAAATTGTTTTTCCATATTAAAGTACATTACATAAGCTTTCATTTATGATACATACAAAAGTTAATTTTTTGTGAAAAAGTTGTCATTTTAAATCCCTCCTGTGGGCATGTAAAGGGTTTGATAAATAAAAAAAAAATATCAAATAAAAGATAAAGATATCATGCATCTAAAAAAAAAAATATATTTTTTTTATTAACTTTGATGTCCGTTTTCACCAACCCAACCGTTTTCACCATGAAAACAAAATAATGTTTTTTTCCCCATAATAAAGTACATTACATTAGCTTTAATTAAAGATATATATAAAAGTGTCAGACTTTCCGGAACACTTTCAAAAGTTATTTTTTTGTGAAAAAGTTGTCATTTTGAATTCCCCCCTGTGGGCAGATAAAGTGTCAAATTTATAAAAAAATTATACCAAATGATAGATAAAGACATCAAGCATCTAAAAAAAAAGTAATATTGATTTGTTCATTTTTGAAAAAGTTATGTCAGTATTATGAAAAAAAAATTAAAAATTAAAAAAAAAAAACATCATAGTAAAACCAATACCTTCTCAGCTTCGCATCGAAGCTGAAAATGGTCTTAAGTAATTCACTTTACTACGTATAAATACATTTAAGACAGATAAACTATAAATCCATACTCAAATTTTTCATGATAATTAATTTTTTTGGCTAATAATATATTTTATGAAGAAAGAGTATCTAATTTTTGTCGACTACTAAAAAATCACTATCTAATAAGACCGTTGATCCGCTCTGCTGCCCTCAATATATTGTATGCTGTTAGCTCATATTCGTTACAAGCTTGTTTTCAAATGTTACAAAAAAGATACTCCATGCAAATTTCTAACAGTTTTGCGATCAATAGAAATTTTAATTATTATTTACGTGTAAAAAACATAGACCAACTCTATGGTAATCATGAACACAGTAAAATTAAAATTTAAGACCATCACTCGTCAATAATAACAATGTTTTTCTAAATACAGATAAGCGACTGCTAAATGATATCCCGTGCGTCAATAACAAAGTATAAAATAACTGGTTTTGATTGTCGTCGAGGGAGCAACTGAAGGATGAGGGTAATCGGTTACCACC